TGTATGTGGTATAGGTCTCTCCAAATTGTTTCAATTCAAATGATGATATATAAAATATTATAAAACACATATTCATGGGCTGGCAATGAAAACTATTATCAGTTACTGTTAGGGTTATTGCGAACATTCACAATAGCTGATCAACATTAATCAAACCTACCTTTTTCTTTCGAACGCAGTGCTGCTTGGAAGTTACTAACACGTTGCTTGAAAGTAGGAGGGAGTACATGAATGCAAATTCCAGGTCCTGTCATCACCAGCATTAGGAGGGAGTACCCAATAACTGCACCAGGCACAGTGCGCCCGATGAATGTTAAAAGGGCGAAAAGTAAGCACATGGCACAACAAAACTGAAGTAGAAAGAAAAAGAAAAAAGCATAACTATTAGGATTATATTGACAAAAGTTTTAAAAGTTTGTTAAAAATAATTTCTAAATAATTACTGTAGTGAAACTTTCAACCATTTCAAAATTGCCAACTCTGGAATCATCACTTAAAGAGAGATTGGCAATTTTCATTTAAAATTCGTAGTTATTAGAGCCCAGACATTTGGTAAAATGACAATTTATTATTGTTGATTTTATGATTTTTAACAATAGGAATCATTTAACTGTACATCTGGCATTGTTTCATTAGATTTTGCTATTTTTTGCCTATTTTCCCTATTTTTGATATTTTGCTTTCTGACCTTTTCGGTCATTAGGGCGCATTTTTGCCCCTCCTGGCACAGATGTCAGTGAAAAACATTCCTGCTTTTCTGAACATAAAGATAGGTCAAGTTTGATCTTTCTGTGAAACCAGACGTTCCATGGTCAGAAGTATTAAAAATCAAAATGAAAAAGTAATCTGATACCAGTCAAGATCTCTAATTTTCATTTTCTCCCTACTGCAGTAGAGATTTACATAATGCTGTGAGGAAAAACGCCGAGGCGAACGGCAGAAAAACTCTTATTACAGGGTTCAGGCAACAAATAAGTGATTAAAACCAGAACGTATACATTTAGACGAGAAAATATCTTCTACCTCGTGGTGTAGCCAGACTCCATGTTTAGTAGGTCCTTGACGCACAAAAATCGATTGACAGCAAAACGTCGGTCCGTCGGTGAACAACTCTAGCGGCTAAATTTTTTTTTCTTCTTCTTCAAAATTGATATTCTCCGATCGATGTGGCTGATGTCGTGGGCTCTTGAATTTGAAACCGATGTTTTAATTTGGGGACATACTTTACCCAAGGCATTTTCAAAATAATGTCTCCATTGTTTTAATATTATTTTATTGTTGGATAGTGTCAAGGACGTTTAAGAGAATAGTGCACTTCTCATTTTCGTTAAAAACTCTGATTTATAAAAAATTGCAGAAATTCAATTTTTTTCGGCGTCTTTCTACAATTAAAATATGATAGATCCCCCCTTAATAAAATCTGTTTCTTAAAGATACTTTTGAAATAAGGTCATGCGTAATTTTTCAAGAAATTGAATATTTTTCGCGAATTTTGCGTGAAGTAGGCAATTTATACTTTACCGTATACATACGAATATATGGCGTATACACATAGTTTGGGAAAATATATGTAATGCTGCGCGAAAAAACGGATTTCGGCAGAAAAAATCATTGGGGGCGGGCCCTGATAACGAAAAAGTGGATAAATCCAGTTGCTAAATTGAGGAGGAAAATCCTCTAACTACCTCGTTAGAGTGTAATCAGAATCCCGGTTTTATGGGCCCTTGATACCGAACAATCGCCTGAAGGCAAAACGTCATCAGTCAGAACACCACTAGCGCCAAAATCATTAGTACAATTTTTTTTTAATGGGATATTCCCCGGTCGACCTGCCTCCACTCAGGTGCAACGATTTAAAATAACATACTTCAAAATTTACTTTACACGAACCACCCCGGACATATTCAAAATTTTCTCAAAAACGGCTCCAGTTTTTCTTTAACTTTTCTTGTAAGAATATAATAAAATACACATATAAAGGTGGAATAGGTCATATTTCTACGGTTTACTCTGAATTTTCGAAAAGTGCGAAAGCTTGAATTATTTTTTGTCGTCTTCCTACAACTACAATATTGAAGATTTAGATTTGTGCTTCAAATGAAATGTTGTCCATAATTAGTTATTTCATTGCCTTGTATATTTTTTAAAAAGTTTTAGTTTGTTTACGCGCAATTTTACAAAAACAAGATTTATATATCTATAACATAAACGTTATATTGCCATATTCCTTTGTGGTTTTTTCCTCTCAAATATTACAAAAATTAATTTTTTTTAACTCGCCTCTCACATTGTTAATATTTACAGTTGCTGAGATTTGTTCACATATTATATTTATGAGTACATGTGCCTTAAATAATGTCAGAAAGTTTCTCGAAAACTCAACAGTTTTCTGTGAAAACTAGCTCGACATTCCTCATTTTAAGAAACACCATTTTCTCAAAAACTGCTCAAAATGTTTCTTCAAACTTTTCCAACAGATAATGCAAATTGCACCCTATTATGACACAAAGTTCTTTTTGGGAATTATTTTTGTTTTTTCAAAAATTACACAAATTTAATGTTTTGAAAGATATCTCACGATGTTAATATCAACATTTGCAGCAATTCGTAAACACTATTGCATTTGTGAGTTAAAGTGCTTCAAATAACTTCTAATGAAGTTTTTCGAAAACTCAAAAATTTTCTGTGAAAAAGCTACAAATTTCGAATTTACAGTAGCGCTTAAAAGACATTTTCTTAAAAACTGTTCCAATTTTTTACAAGAAAATTCCTATTTAGGACGACGAGGTTTTGCTGTTCTTTAATATTCGTAAAACAACACTTCCGTTCTAATTTTAGGAAACCGAAAAATTAAGAAAACTTCAAAAAAATGTACTTTGTCGACGATAGATGGCAGCTAGCAAGAGTATGTGACAAATCTCCGAATACCCGAGACCAAAGGAAATAGAATACTAACATGGGAAGTCTGTGCAATTCTGTAGCATCACTAGTTTCATTTTGTTTAAACATTTTTTCTCAAATCCGGTTCCATCGTTTTTTATTAAATTTTGTTGTTGTATAGTCTTAAGGATGTTCATGAGAATTGTACACTTCTCTTGTCGATTGATAACCCAATTTTTTTTTTTTTTTTGAAAATTGAACAAATTTTAAAAAAATCGACGTCTTCCTTCAACTCAAATTATGACAATACAATTTTTTAATTTCTCGTGTACGTACGTATATACGGAGTAATCTACGTAGTATAGAGAAAGTTATGTAATGCGCCGAAAATCAATTTCGAAATTTCAACGGAAGTACACGTTTTGGGATGCCCTGATACCGAAAAGGTCAATACATTTACATCTTTCATACGGTTATATACATTGTTTAAAATGTTAGCAGTTTTCCCGCAATTTTGCGTGCAATATGTGCAATATTAAAATATAACAAAAACAAGATTTTCACGAATGCTGCTCCAAATTTTTTCTTATAACTTTTGCTAGGGATAGTGCTAAATGTACTCTTATAAGATGTAATAAACGCCATATTGCTCTATTCTTTTGTTGTTGTTTCCCTTCAAAAATCACAAAAAATGAAGTTTTTGACTTGTCTCTCACGTCTTTAATATTTGAAGTGGCAATTTGGTCACATTTTTATATTTATGAGTAGATGCCGTGTAAATAATGTCATATGAAGTTTCTCGAAAACGGTTCTCTGTGAAAATTAGCTCAAAATTCCGCATTTTTAGAAACGCTCAAATGCCATTTTCTCAGAAATGGGTCCAAATTTCTTGTTCAAATTTTTTCAACATATTTCTAATTGCACTATTTAATATGACTAAATTAATTTTAGAGTATTCTTTTGTTTTTTAAAAAATTATACAAATGTAACTTATATCTCTCACACGCTTAATGTTCACATTTCCAGCGATTTGTAAACGCTATAGCAATTGTGAGTTAATGGGCTTTAAATGACTTCTAATGAGGTTTTGCGAAAACTAAAAAACATTCTGTGAAAAATAGCTTCAAATTTCAAATTTATAGGAATGCTTATATGCCATTTTCTTAAAAAAAGGCTCCAAATTTTTCAATACAAATTGCTAATTAGGATGAGGTATTACTCTTCTTTAGCATTCTTAAAGTAATATTGTCGTTCTATCATTATGACACTGAAAAAATTGAGAAAATTTCAAAGAAAGTAGTTTGAGTGGCAATAGTTGGCAACTGTCAAGAGTATGTGGCAAGACCAAAAAGTTACAAAACCAAAAAATTACAAAACTAGTACGAGAAAATCTGTGCCATTCTGTAACATCACTAGTTTGATTGATGCCGACAGGCTTTATCCACCAATCTATGTCGAGGACAGCTCTCTCTATCTGATAAACCCTTCTCAGTTCTGGGAATTACACAAGTGTGAAGAGTGAAAAATACCATTCTGTTTTACTGACGTCATTTCGCATTTCAAAAGGAAGTTCATAATAGCATTTCAAAGAGCCTGCACCACAAAAGAAAGAAAGAAAGAAAGAAAGAAAGAAAAGAAGAAAAGAAAAAGAAAAAATCAGAACCAGCATACTGAATGGTCATACGGAATCATTACAAGGAAAAAAAATGTTTCCTTACACGTAACGTAAATTTTAGATAGAATAAAAAATGTGAATAATTTTAATTATTAATTTTTAACAATAATTCCTTTAAACATGCTTTTACATTGTTTACAAGTCTTTTTGCACCCATACTTTAGTCATGATAAATCCATTTTACCTGCCTATTTTAGTAAAAATAAATGCCTTCTTGCCTACCTGTTTTAGGTAAAATAAATGCCTGAACTTCGTACTAGTAATAACATATTTAACTGTCTAGAGCTACTTCATGAATTTTTTTTGGCTTTTGATTAGGCCACATTGGAACCACTGAGTCGTTCCACTTCACTTCTTTCATGGTCCGACTGTCGGAAGTATCACCCTGAGTGAGGATAAATCCTCGAGTTACAATTCTGAATGTTATTCAGAAAGGTGCATATGAGAGATCGGAGGATGATGTTATGAATCAGGGGTGAAAGGACGAAACACATCACAACCATGCCGAGCGGATCAACCCGCGATCCTTCGGTCCGAGATTGCTACGCAACTACTGCCTAGCGGATCTCGGCCACCGGAGTGGTCAAAACCTTCAGAAGAAGAAAAATTGTACAATAATTTTGTAATACACTGGTGTTCACATAAAATAAATATTGTTCTTTCTCCTTCAGATAACAAGGAATGATAGTGTCAAACACATAAATAAATTATAATGGATTAGCTTGCCCTGAAAAACAGTATTACCACAGGCCTCAGAACAGCCTGAAACACACATTTCTGGGGCCCCCACCATTAAACTTCTAATTTAATCATGACCTATTATATTACAAAATAAATTATACAAGCAGAATTAAATTACAGTTATAATGATACCAATTAAACACAAATAATACAAAAATAATGATACAAATGTTATCCAGAAGTATATGAAAAAGATTGAATCTGTGCAACACTTTTTATTTCATGGCATGGAAACTGCATGTACCAGCGCTTAGATTAACTCATGACTGAGCTTATAGCAAAGATGCTGGATATCAGTTTACTAAACTCTCATAGAAGTTTGAATGATGTATTGTTTTTGCACAAATTACTTGAGAATGACATTGATTGTATGCAACTATTAGCAGAAATCAAATAGAAAGTACCTACATGAAATCTTTGTCTTGACAATCAAAAATTTTTTTGTTCCTACAGCTAAAAAAAATTTTGAATTCTAATCCACTATTATGGAGAATAGTAAGAACCTATAATAATATGAATATTGTTCTAGATAAATCTCATTCTTGTTTCAAGCATCTGGCAAATTTTATTTTTTTATTGCCTGTAATTAACAATTCATTTATTTAATTTTATACTGTATATAAATTGCAATTGGGCGATTGCCTTTTGTAAATAAATAAATGTTGAATCACATGCAGGTTTCCAGACAGCTTGGAAAGCCCTTTCTCCAAATGTAAAATGGATATATGTTTCATTTCATAATATTATTACACAAGGCTACGAGGACTCTTTCAAACTTTTCAGAAAGGCATTGGCCCCACATCTATGTGCACGCCTGTGAACAATAAGCATTAACCCTTTCAATGCTATGAATGCATCCATATGAAAAGCCACCTATTTTTCTGAACAAACAATGAATGCAATAACTTGTTCATATTCATTATGCATCATTTTCAACTCTTATTCAGTTTTTTCATGCCTGGCAATAGACTTAATTTGTCATGCTTGTTTTAATTGTCATTAAATTTCCTTAGGACTAAGAGGATGTCAAAATTTTGAAAGATGCAATTTTGACAGTAAAGTCAAGGATCACGAAGAATTAAACAAAGTTTTAACTAATACACATTTATATTATTTTTTTCAAAATGGCTGGTCTTCAAGTGATTTCTATCAAGGGCTACTATATTATTATAATTGAATCATGTTTTGTGTATTTTAACATTGGTAACTTGTCATTTATGTTTACTACAAACCTTTTTCTATCACATTTCTTGTAGCCTGAAGATTGAAAAAAAACACGATTCTCATAATGTCGCAAAAACAACTTCGTTAATGTAGTATAAAATCTTTTAAGTTTACGATTTTATTTCTAAATTTTTGGAATTACTGATTTCTGTCAAGAAAGCCAAACTATCTTCCGATGAGATTGAACACTGGCAGACTATTTCATGTTTTTATGTTTTCATATTTCTCTCCTAACCACAATACTCTCAAAAGGTAATAATTTACCTTTAAAAAAAAATTATTTTATGCTTCAACAAGTGCTTAATAAATTTTACAAATGAATACTAATAATTCTAAACAACCAAATACTCAATAAATAAAGTTAAGAATGTAACAGTAATTTAAACAACAAATTTTATTAGTTCATGATATTAGAAAGTCTCTATACAAAGACTCTTTCTGTGGAGTTGTGTTTCCTCCTAAGTGATCAGTTATGTTTGTAAGAAGATGCAACCTGTCTTGGGTTAATGGCAGTTTCTTTACCTCATTACGAGGAAACAAAGAAATTATAATAATGAAGTTTAGAAAAGCAATTTATCATTACATCATTACAATTCTGAGTTCACATTCTTAGTCACTAAATTAACAACAAAATTTCAAAATAATCGCATCTTATTTTAATGAGTTGTTCCCTTGAGACTTATGCAAAAGCGAATAACTTACCATTCCTGGCTGGTCATCTCTCAGATTTTTCAACCAAACATAATAGTCCTTTAGAACTTCTCTTGCTTGGCTCACATAACGGCTGATTTCTGGTACAGTCAGCACACTGCAATGGTTGAAAAGAAGCAAAAACATTTAATGAAGATGATTAGAATGAGAAATTACATTCTTATACATAATGAAATAGTGTTACATTCAATTTAATCCAGTTTTTAACATTAATTTTTTTCTCCTCTTTTTTGTGCTGTTACATTATTAAAATATTATTTTCTTAACGACTGACTCAGTTTATTCACAGTTGTTTTTTCCATTTGCTTTTTTCTCTATTGTTTGAAACCCGAGGATTTTGTCTCGTTTACAGAAGCTGTAATATGTACTGAGGGATATCCTTAGCTAAAGGCTTCATTTACATAGTTTTCACTTTTTTAACAATACACAAGTAACAACTGTATGGCTAAAAGTAATTTATATTATTTCTTTTTTTATATCTTATAGCACAAGCATACAGCCCAGAATTCAAGAAATGCAGTCCAAAAACTATACATCACAACAATAAAATAGTCTTCAAAGGGATACAATAAAAGGTTAGTCCTTAAAAAGCTCTATCAAGAGCTAATGATTGCGAGTCTCAATTTTGTTCAAGTTGGATGTGCTGCAAATCAAGAAGTCACGTGTTTTCTTTGCCCTGCTGCAAATTCGGTTTAAATGTAGTGGTATGAAATCAAAATGTGAGTCAACTGCAACCCCAAGATCAACAAGGTTTTATTGCTGCCTTTAGTGATTGACCATTGAAGGTGTAAGTAAACTGCATCAGTTGAAGTTTCCTAGTAAAAATAACAACATAGCACTTGCCAATGTTGGCTACATGCCACTAACCATCCTCCTGTCCATCAGAGACGAAAGGTCCAGTTGCAATCTGTAAGCCTCATCATATTCTCATGTTCATAAGCCTTCATATTCTCATGTAAATTTTAGCGTCATTAGCAAATAGTTGAATATTACTGTAAGTAATAATGGATGGAAGGTCATTGATATGCCTGAAGGAACGTCGAAGGCATGAGAGCTAAATGGAAATAAATTGTTTCCTGCCCCAGAGGTAAGAACGAAAGCTGGACAGCAGCAGATCATTGATGTGGAGTCTAGCCAGTTTTTTCATGAGGACTTCATGATTAACACAGTAAAAGGCTTTTGCAAAATCTGTATATATTACAGCCACTTGACTACAGTCTGCAAAATCATTGGCGATAAAAATAATAAACGGTAAGATTAGTAGTAATGGATCTGGCTGGTTTGAAGCCATGTTTATAATCTGATAAGATGGCATCATATCCTTGATGAGAACGGGCGAGTCACAATTCCTCAAAAAACTTAGGAATCTAGCTGAGAATGCAGACTGGGCAATAGTTAGAAATTTTGGAATTGTCATTCTTCTTGTGGACTGCCATCACCTCTCCCAGTTTCCAAAAGTCAGGAAATATACCAGAGTGTAGCAATGACTCAAATAGTACCCATCATTTTTTTTTTATTAATGTAATTTAATTTTAAAGTATTTATTTATTTACTTTAGCTCCACAAGTTAAAAATTAACTTTTAGCCATATAGTTATCTCAATATTTAAATTAATGGTGCTACATCACGTAGTTTCACCTATCAGTAATTGTTAAGTATAATTACAACACTGGAATTTCTGTCCATATTAACACATCTCAATCATTACTTGTAAACTCATGACTAATTGTAGTGCATTAGGCGTAAAATTAATTTAATTTAAATCTTCACGTAAATACATCAACATGAAATCCACAATCCGAAACCGTTTCATACACCAAGAAACACCACCCAACAGTAAGTATATTTCAGAATTTCAAACGTGCCGTGTGGCGGCGGTCCACTTGTGTTGCAACGTGATAACTCCTAAAATTTTATAGCAAATGTAGTGCGGGGAATTCTAATTTGAATAAAAGACAAGTTTCCAGGCGCATCAACTGCTAATGTCATTAGCCCCGTACGTTTAGGGTATGTTATTGCGAGAAGGACTGATGATTACAGAGATCTGGCGCCGATCACGACGTCAACATGCGGGTTTTCTCCACGCAGATACCAACCCAGTGCTCCCATTAGCGGGGCACTGACACAGCCGAGACATGATCTACGCTCACGACTTGTGTAAGCATGAGCGCATGTAAGGAAAGGACAAGAAAGAGGAAGGAAGATCGTGCGCAGTTCGTGGTCCGTTTGTTAGAGAACCAACTCCGGCATTCGCCTGAGGTTGACCCGAGAAATCACAGAAAACTACCGATTAGAGCAGCCTTTAAATTTTGCAAATTTCCGAACACTACCGGTTTAGGTAGCTCAGCGCATCAATTGGTGTCACTGCAGTTCCCGACCGGGAAATTCTAGGGTTCGAGTCTCGATGACGATAGCAGGCGCGAATCCACGGGAAGGAAAATCCCCCCCCCCCCTTAAATGTTTCAGTAACTATTCATCTTAACTTGTCACAAAACTATTTTCGGATAATCATTAATACGAATAAAATCGTATCGCAGCATGAACTGAGTGAAGCCTGCGACATTTTACAAAATCTGTACCATGGCACATTCGATCAAAACATTTATAATTTCCTCTCCTAAATGTTGTGACTGGATCAGCCCGTGCGATATGATTTTTGACACTAGCTAGATAGCTAGGTCGAATTCAGCCACTGTCTGGAGGAGAATTCTAGCGGTCAGCTGCTCTGATCGGTAGTTTTCCATGGTTTTTCAGATGAACGTGCACTACAATTACGGGCGAATGACCTTAGCCGTTGACGCGCCCGGAAACACTAATCCAGGAATCAATTTTTTAAAAAAAAATCACGCATTTTTGCGTTTTTAGCGCCATCATCTCGGAAGACATCACAACTAGCTGTGATTACAGCTACATTTGACGCCAATGAGGCGATGAATGACACGGATCGCTCGCGCTGTAATGCTAGGACGCCGCTGTATGAGGTTTAGAGCTTTGGTCACTCGCAAGGAAAAGATTCATCCTCAACGTTGCCATTCCTTAGAGCAATTATCCTTCAACAGGATAATTTTGACCGAGGTAGCCAAGAGCGTGTACGGGAACGCGGGTTCGAGTACCCGCGTTGGGCATGGTTGTGTCCTCTCTCATGTACGTTTTGTTGCGGTGGCCCTCGCGTTCTGCTGACCCCAGATCAGAGGCGCAAGTGTGTTGGTGTCGAGTGTATGATTGAATATGCGTCATTTCGGGACGTATAGTAATTGTGATTTGCGAATGCCACTTCAATTTAGTTAATTAAGTTAACAACGGCTTCAGGTAGCTTGAATATAAAATGGCAATAAAGCTTTATATTCCAAGGCATATGCCTGTATTAAATTTTCTGTATTTTTGACCAATTATTCTATTTTTTTTTCTCGAAATAAGATAATCTTAACCAAAAATATTAATTTACCACACTTTTGTTTGAAAGTAAAATGCACAGAAAATTGTATAATTATTTCAAAACAAAGCAAGGGACATTAGTTCGAAGTCTAAAGGATAGGTGGTAATTCTCAAGCCAGCATTTCTCAAAATATAAAGATATTTAGTTTGTTAAGTTGGCAATACTGAAATAAACTTTAAAGTGCACAATCTTTTGAAGTAACAAGAAAAACCTAATGTACAATTAAAAGTATCCCAACATATTAACACAATAGACTATACTTGAATAGCCATGATCATTCAATCAATTCCATGTGTATTAACATATTTGGTACAAAAAATTAGTATTGCAATAATTCACAAATTTCAGTATGTAGAAAGGTATTCAAGTTTATGTAACTTCACAAGTTCATTTGTTTTATTGTAGTAATAACCACAATATAATATATTTTTCATAGCTTCAGAAATCACTGACTATAAGACATGAAATTATTCTAAAATAAGTCAACCAATACTGAATCATACCGAGAATGTCCAGCTTGATGATCTTCTGTAGTGCTACATGGTCTTGATGTTATTTCTGGCCAAACTTTTTCAATACATAAGTCGATGATAAATAAACACAACAGCATTGTAAATATGAGACCATAAAATCTGATCTCAAAACTGATTGCCAATCTAGAAAAATTACAAAACAATTCTATATATGGAATATGCTCACTTAAATTAATGAAGTAAATAAATAAATTAGAGTTTTCAGTGGTGAAAAATCCATTCAGCCGTACATCAACATTTAATTGGAGGGGAAAAGTGAACAAAGAAAGTAGAAAATCATTCAGATTTGGCATTTTCTAGAGAATGTGACCCCCCAAGTAGATATACAAAATATAAATGAAAGGAAACTAATTTTTCGTTTGCATTGAATAAAAATGTATTTTTACTTACCCAAATAGAATGTTAACAAGAATTACACTGCAAACACTAATAAATGGATTTTCCCAGACTAAAATGCTCTGAGCCTTCATGACATATGGTTCGAAGTGACCTAAAGCTCTGACCAAATTATCCTCATTAGAAACGTCTCCATTATCCGAACTTTGATGTTGTCCCTTTCTTGAGAAGCTCCAATTCTTGATGCGCGAAATCCAATCCATCACACGACCAGCCATATTTCCTTTAATTATCTAAAAGATGAAGTTGTCAACCCCACACAAAGTACTCGTTCACCAGTTAATTAAATTGTCAAATGTTTCCAGTAATTCACTGCTTCCTTCTAAAATCCCATTGCACCTTTCACATTTTACGCCTTAATTTTGCAAGGTACGAACAAACCAGAAGTGACTTCACTATCACAAATGACTTCAGAAATGCGCATTCAATGTTACCAACATTACGAAGCTCACGGCCTTGAAATCGAATTGTTTACCTATCTCCCTAAATTTGATTCATTACGAAAATAATTTATTTTATTACATCGCATCACATTAAAGGTCTATTAACCGTCTATAATTTAATGTAATAATAATCGATATACTTTCGTTATAGAAAATATTAAAATAATAAAAGGAGAATTTATATTTTTCAGGAAAATATTAAAATATTCGCTTCGTCCCTGCAACTGTCAATGAAACAGAAATAATGCCACTATATCACTGACACTTATTCAAATAGACTCAAATTCCAACTGAAATAGCTCATGCTATTGGCCTCTCACGGATAGAATGACATCGCGTGACACACCTTGGCTCTTTGCCGATATTTGTTGCGAAATACGGAAGTCACGAGGATTTGAAATGACAGAAGTGATGTAGCCGACTTTGTTATTAAGATTCATTTCCCTGGACTTCATGAATCCTTTGTGAAGAGTTGTGTTAATGCATTGTCCCATATGTCACCAATGAGTCACTCTTTGACTAAATGTTGACACGAATTCTTGCAAATTTTGTTCAAAATAATAATATTAATTACAATAATCACGCGTGTCAACAACACATGTTACAACCATCAAAACATTCGCGGTTCAATGATCGCGCAATTCCAGCTCATGAGGTAAATGAACTTTGATCTTTTCGCGAATCGTTAACTGCGCATACTCGAAAGTAGGTTACATTCGCAATGTAATACTGCAATACAAAGAAAGTGGGGAAAAGGAGGAGGAAAAGGGAACAATTTTTTTTAAAGGAAAGATGATAAAAATAACACGAACCAATTCTTTATGTTTTCGAGTGCAAGAAGAGATTCGTACTTGGATACATGAACGTTTATGAATTTAAGACGCAGCAAACTCGCATTATAATTTGTTCTAGATATAGAACAACGCAAGTGCGTCACACCAGAGGATTAAATGCAACTTGCATCTTACGCAGAAAACCCTCTAGAACGCAGATAACGAATGACGCGGGCAACTTCGTGAACACGTATAAAACGTGACGGTATCGCAAATGCACTCCACACTATTCCAAGCGGGAATTACAAAATTCTTCAATAGTAGTACGTTTCGGTCAGACACATATTTTTTTTAGCAAAGCTTGTGTTTGCAGTATTATTCGTAATTGTATACATTTTTCTTTCATTTGTATAAGAAAAAAATTAAAAGTACCTAGTTTTCAACAAAATAAATGTTTAAAACACTAATCAAAAAATTATATAGAAATAAAATTAAATAAAAAAACGTAAACGAAAAATATTAAAGAAATGTATTTTATTCTATGTGTTAAAGGGAGTTTAGCATGTCAACAACTTTATAAACTGAAAAAATTATTTGCTACATTTCATAAGAAGTTGGATTTTTGTTGAGAGAAAGGAAGAAAGAAAGTTTGAAAATTTGAATATTAGAAATAAGGACCTTTAAAATTCAGAGTTTCCAGCTGCTGACAGCTCAAAGAGGGGCATGTTACACAGTAGAGTAATTAGGGCACAGTAGAGTAGAAAATAGCAAAAAACTCAAAAAATAAGACTGCTGGATAAAAACAGGTTGAAACTTTAATAAGTACAAAAGGATTTTTTTAATTAAAATAAAAAACAAGACTGAAAAAATCCTTGCCATTCATGAGATTTAATCCCCAAACCAAAGTGTTAGTAATGAGAAAATTATCTTTTATCAAAAATATAAATATCCCCTCCTTATTTTCTCAATATTTGATTCCCAAATAATTTAATTGATTAAAGACCTTAAAAATGTCACAGAAGGGCAAAACCTCAAATCGCAAGGAAATATTTGATATTTCGAGAAACTTCATTGGAAGCATTTCTATACACAAAGGCTAGAATTATAAAACATTAACAATTAGTGAGATAAAAAATCATTAGTAAGTAGTAACATTAGTAACATTAAATTATCAAAATTTTAAATCAAAATATCAAAAGTGGCAACCACATTTTTTCTCTTTTCATACACGGATGACTCGCCATTGCTGAAAAAAAGTTTGATTATGAATTTTACAGACGGACACGAACGAACGGAGGAGTCAGACAGACGGAGGCACGCGGAGAGACACGGGCGCACGGACGGGCAGAGGCATGCAGTCTCCAAGAGACGGTCGAGGCAAACAGACCGATCGAGGCAGACGGACGGTACGGGGAAGTCAGCCGGAGCGGCCTACGGACAGACGCAGGCTGACAAACAGTCGTAAGGCGGCACTTGACATTGACACTATGTACAGTCGACTCCTATTACAGTGAACTTCTGGAGACTAACATTTTCGGTTTTCTATATCCAATGTCAAAATTAAATAGAATTTATTCATAATTATTGATTTGATTAATATAGAGACACAGCAAAATACATAAACAGCCCGAATTGGTAATTTCAATATCTTAAACTGTTCTTTAAAAAGTCTAATTTTCAATTGTTTCCTTCGTCCTTTTTCATTAATTTCATTAGCTCCTTATCCAGAGTTCGTGCTCTCTGCATACTACTTGATTCTGCATTGTCCTCTGCGCCTAGGTATCGTATTGCAGTGCTGACACCTTTCAATATCTCTTGCACTGTTGGAACACCGTCCCACTCTCCGAGGACCCCTTTACTCTCAAAATGTATGAGATCCTTTCTGTAGCGGGTGCAAGCGATGAATGAAGCTGATCGCTTTTCCGAGCGGCACGGTGGATCGCCACTCTGCCAGTCGCGTGCTTTTTGTCGCCTACGTAGAACTCAACACGCTTTGTCCCGCGGAATATCAAGTAGTACAACCAAGATTGAAACTGAAGCAAGCGATGACGCATCGCCGCCACCAGTTGTAGCCCAGGCAGGGCACGACCTTAGTTTCCGCAGTTACTTAGTAGCATTATATTTGTTTTTTTTATAACCTTGCACTTGACATAAATCAGCTGTTACGGTGTCATCCAATTGAGAGCTTGAACGTTGTGGTGACGTCACTGTGATGACGTTTAAGCTCCTGATTAGATAAAACAGTCAACAGCTGATTTATGTCATGTGCATAAAATGTTATAAAAACCCAAGTGTAGGTCATCAGTAAGGTCCCTATTTCAGACTTGGAATTTGTGGCACTGAGGCGATATATTATTTTTCAGGAGTGAATTTATTTCCGGACGTTGTAATTCCTATGTTCACTATAGCTGAGGTTCAGGTTCACTTTAACCGAATCTTCGTATGCTTATTTGTAATATAAGTTCACTATAACTGGAGTCGACTGCATCTGAAAAAACATGGTGCCATAGATCTTTCATGAAAAGAAATTAAAAAGACAAGTCTAAAAGATTCAAAAGGATATGTTTATGACTAGTTTAGGTGGCTCAGAACATCAATAATTAACATCAATTATGGATGTCACTGCAGCGCCTATGACTAGGAGGTCCTACGATGGGAGCGTATTCGACACTAGATAGATCTAACCTATAGCTGTCGAACTGCTGCCTGGAAGAGAATTCTGGCGGCTGGCTGCTCTGATCGGTAGTTTTCCGTGGTTCCTCCGATCAACAAGGCGAAGCCCGGGGCGGTACCATAGCAAATGGGCCACAGACTGCGCGCAATATTTCCTTGCCCTTCCTTGTCCTATTCTCACCCTTGCACACACTTCTACTTGCATGCATTACACTACCCACAAGTTGGAGGCCAATCGGGAGCTTTAGAGCTTGTCCCAGTTGGGACTGTGCCCCGCTTGTGGGAGATACCTGATTGGAGAAAATCCCACTAGTTGCCGTGTATATCGGCACTGGATCTCACCATCCAGCGGGGGAGGATCACCGCTACTTTCCGAGTAAAAAAATGTACTACACGAATAGGCCTAACGATAGCAGCTGACTCGCCTGGAAACACGAAATAATCGATCATACGTTTATGGCAAAGCCAGAGTGTCATAAGTTAAAAATTTACTTTATTGTAGTGATTGAAAGTAAGGCTAATTGTGATATAACAGCTCATATTTTCTCGCATTATTACTAAATTTGCAATTTTCGAAAAATCCAGAGTATTTAACGAAAATGAGATCTGATCTATTCTTGTTCTATCCATGGAAAAATATTGAAGAAAAATTTTGGAACGGTTTTTGAGAATTTTTAAAAATATTAAATACAGTCAATTCAAGCACAAATTTCGCGAAAATACTGGTTAAAAAATTGTATATGACCTTTCTTTTAAACATGATCTTTTAAAACACATTTTGTTTAATGCAAAAGACGAGACTAATGAAATGATCGAGGAAATGACCAACTAATGAATGAGGAAATGAAACACCAGTTGTTTTTACCGTCTTTTGATAGATTTAAGGAGAATTTTTATAAAAAAAAATATATGAGCAGTTTTTGAGAAAATGTTTAAAATATTTTTTAAGTATTTCGCACACAATTATAAGCGAAAACCACTCATATTTTGGAAAAATTCAACACTAACTTATTTGAAGATGTCTTTAAAGAACGGCTTTCATTCAGGAAAACAATATCTATTTTGAATATTGCAGCTGTAGGAAAACGCCGAAAAAAATGAACTTAGCTGTTTTCGAAAAATAAGGGATCTGAACGAAAATTCTTAATTTGGAGCCATTTTTGAGAAAAATGTTGTCTTTATGTAAAGTACCGCTAAAAATCAAAATATCCGTTTCAAACTCAAAAGGTCTCGGGTTCATTTAAATTGATAGGGGGAAATCAGTTTTGGAGAAAATCGTCCGAACGGTTTCGGCGCTGGACTACACACGGAAGGAAGGACAGACACATTTTGCCGTCAATCGATTTTTCGGTATTAAGGACCAGAAAACATGAATTCTCACTACACAACAGAGAGTATTATAATACAATGTGTGTGTGCTAAACATCGTGTCAGGGGAAATAATTTACTAATTTTAATTTAATTTTGCGTTACCACGGCAATAAAGTTTTTCTGCCGAAAATTGATCGTTTTCTGACATATGATTACAATACTTTTTTCTTCCTGGAGAGTAAGTGTGAGAAAGTTAAAAAATGGTCAAAGCACAGCCTGAAATAAGTTGAAGAGAATTATTTTGCGATTGATCACATTTAACAGCATCACTGTTTTCTCAACTAAATACATGAATTCTGAGAAACACTCAAATGCAAACCTGAACATAACTTCAAAATTACATCAGCTTATGCCAGGGGCAGATCCAGCCAGGGCTTATGCTGGGGCAGGGCCAAGATCGTTCATCTGTCATCACCTAAGAACATTCCCTTCTGAGTTACCAGATATTCTTTCTGTTGCAGTTGTTGATGGCTTCTTATTCTCTAACAACCATCAACTTGAAACTCATATTACTTAGTGCGTGTTTGATTGAGTTTTTAACTACAAACTTGTACAGCTCTGGATCAATCTTCAACATGTGTTTTTTATCGGTTTCGGTTTTTTGCTCAGATGTCAGAGCTCAAGTTTCATGATCTGGAAAAGCAAACATTGATTCAAACTGACTAGGGCTAATCTGCAAATACGAGATGACTTGCATTTTTGAATGTGATATTTAAGAAAATACTTGTCTTGTATGCAGGTAAAACAGTCATTTATTCTTCTCCCATTGGCATTAACAATAAACAGTCTATAAAAATCTAACTGGTTTTTTAGTTTCAAAAGGCAAACACAAATATGTTCTTAACAAATGTGATGTCCATTGTGTAAACACAAACTTGCACCATATAAGCAAAGCTTAAGGCACTGCAGACAGACAACTATTCAAACTTTGATATAATAATCTGAGATAAATAAAGCTACAGTTGTTTCTAAATTTAATAAGCATTCCTTTCCTTTAAAAATGTACAAACATTAAAGTGTATTATTTGACATATAATCATATTCCAAGTATACATTTGTGCCAGATTTGTGAACTATTATACATTTTGGAATATATATCAACTGTTTGCTCAGTGGTAAATTGTCTTAATTAAGCAAATACTTTTAATTCCATTTAATTTTATAAATAAAGCATTGATTAATGAAGATGAAACCATATTCTTGCTAAAACATCTTCCATAGAGGAAGTACATTACAAATATAGTCTTCACATACCAGTATAACTTTCGATGATAATCCACCATTTATATACATGAACTTTATACCTGAAGGAATTAGAAGTATTTGGATGATTTTATGAGGATCTCAAATATATAATCTGTTATCGTTTGGGAAATTATTGTTTACTTTTCAGCAGGAATGTCCGATTGGGGGCTTCTGACTTTCCCAATAACCTCAGCAATGTCACTGCAAATGGCTGTGCAATCTAAATTCCATGGTAGCACAATTTTGACTGATAGTGATACACTGAACTGAGTGATAAGTGATATACAGTCTTCATACAATAGACATAAATCAATCAGCCAAGTTCAGTGTCAGAAGACAACCTATGAAGATGGCATGTGAATGTCCTAGGCACAACTATAGGTTGTGCCACCAATTGTGTGTTTTAAACAGCAAATATAAAAGAAAATGTACAGAAGAATGCTATTTAAAATATGGTAAAATTAACTTTTACATTATATTATTTTAACAGTGAAAGTGCAGCGAATGCTGACATTGTTGATAAAATTAATATTTAATTAAAAATTCAAGCCAACAGAGAAATTTGAAAACCTATCTGGTAACAATGCAGTACTTATGTTGTATTTAACTTATACAATTTTGAATTCTTGGTACATCAAATTGGCACCTCTGCATTACATTTCAGCAAGCTGGTTGTTTATTTTAATATTTTGGTCTACCTTTGATGGAATATTCAAGAATTTATAATGCATATATTCTGAATAATCTGTAAATAGATGTGAATTGGTATGAATGGGGCTTTCTGATTGTTCACTTAAACATTCAGAGTTTAATTATTTCACTTAAAAATATAAAAAATATAAAAATAATTCATTTTGTGATGGAATTTAAATATCACTGGAATTGAACCTACAATATTCAAGTTATTCCTTCATTATCAACAGGAACGACAACAGTCTTCTTAGTTTTTCAAAACCATATACCTTTAATTATATTCATAAGTATTGTTGCTCAGATGTCTTTTCTTTTTCAGATTTAGACAAAGATCAAATCTCTATCAATAATTAAAAAACACCACCACCAACAACAACTGTTCAACCCAATTTCATTTTTAGCTACGATTCATTATCCATTAATGGAAATTTCTCAAAAATAAATTTTGTTTTTCTATATAATCTGTGGCACAACCATGCAAGGGGTGGGGATTCATGTGGCTTTAGGTCTCTCCAGATGTTAATGTTCACAAAAATGTTTTTTATTCAGTTACAGGATCAGTAAAGAAATAAGGATATTAAAAAAAAGGCTTAAAACAAAGAATGTAGTAGAAAAAAAAAGGAAGAGCAGAAGAAATGTTTTTTTCAGATTAACAGAATGAAGCAAGAAAGATTTCTAAAGAAAACAATAATCATAAACCAATAGTACAGAGAAATGAGGGGAGACTTCAAAAGATATCTTTAGATCAGGATCACCTGGAGAACTAAAACCCATCACATTTACTGGGAAATGGGAACAGGCGAAGTGCCTAGCAGCCTGCAGTACAATATTGAGTTCTTTAATTAATTTTCTTAGTAATCAAAGTCATTCAATATTTCAATTGAATACATTATAAATAACTACAAATAATGAAATAAAAAAAATTCATTTAAACTTCACAACAAATGAAAAATTCTTTATATGGAAACATTAAGGCTGCTCACTACACCTACACCTAAGAAAATCCCTCATTGTGCCACTGAATATAATATTGCCCTGAGAACCTTTTCACATAGCAATGATTCAACTAATTGATAGAACCTTTTTCAGACTTCATACAAAAAGCACCTATAAATAACTTAATATTACAAGGCAGGTACTGGGGGTGGATTTCCAATGCCTCCTGCAGTCTCGTGAACAGCTCTGGCCACTTCAGCTGCCAAACGATCTGCATTAGATTGAGTAGTGGCTTCTGCATAAACTCTAACTACGTCTTCAGTCCCAGATGGTCTATAATGAAGATAAAATTACATTAAATGTTGAAGTCATTGTATGATAGAATCATTTTAATGTTTTTATTTATTTTAATTTAAAATGAATACTGATATTTAAACAATTAATATTTAATAATTAATAAATATTTAAATAATAATTACTTATTTTAATTTAAAGTTTACAAGCAAAGGCTAGGAAACTGAAATTAAAAAAAAACATTGATCTTCATGACAGAAATATAATGTCATATTAATTAGTATATCACGCACATCCAGATTGGACAGTTTTGCAATGTAACAAATGAACATAGCCAGAAAGCAGAATTTTAGTTTCCTTTCTTGTTGAACTTCTAAATACTGGGGAACTCAATTATTTAAGACACTCAATTCATTATTTATTACTCTTATTTCATAATTATATTTTATCATAATGTAAACAGAAAATAGAGGAAGGAATATGGAGTTACAAGGTTCGCTAATTAGCACAACGATAAATTACTTAATTTATACCTGACAAACGCTCGGCCCTGTTCGTACATCTTAACAATTTTATTGATAGTTTCTTGTAATCCTGGGGGCGAAATACATTGTCTCTCAGCATCAGTTGTCTGAATCACTCTGCGATCCTGAAAAAAATTGTTGTTTCTTTTGAAATTTACAAATTATTTAACAATTTGAAGTGAATTAAAGACTCAATCCAAATGGAAAATTACAACATTCAACTAAATGGTGGAAAAAAGAAACAGATTGTCGATCAGGTTATATTTCAAAATAAAAAGAACTCTTATTTGCTGTTACAATTGAGAGTTGCAACACAGACAGAAAACAAAGATTAATCTTTTAGTTGTGAACCCGAGAATGTTTTCCCACAGTTTTTCATTCCAGTGGAATGAACAGGATATTTCTTGCCTGACTTGCAGAGGTGTGGAACAAATTATACCCTAGTGAAGATGACAAACTGAGTCGTAGTGATTCCCATGTATTAGATTTCCAGCCTATGTAATCTGAAAGGGAAGTGTTCATAGAGACAGATCTCGAGATGCTATACATATGAGCAATCATAGGCAGCTGTAACATTTCTTGCAATTACAATGTACTCTGACTTCAAAAGCAAAATAAGAGGGCTTGGATTGCTTACAATCGTCTGGAGACAGCACCACTACACAGAAGGACAAAAATAAATCTTAAAAGGAGACTAAGAAGAAGAGGCGGCTTCAGACATTGCTTGTGAAGTTCCATTGACTTTCTTGAAGTTTGAGAGTTAAGTTTGTATGTAAGTGAGCATCTTTTTTTCCACAAGTAAACAAGGAAAGCAAGAACTATTCAGATGTGACAATTTACAATTTTTTTTTTGGTCAAATTCCTGCAATATGGTTTTATTAAAAGGAGGACAAATTATCAACACTATCAAAAGAGTCAACATATTATATATTATATTTTTGTTAATAACATAGATTTATTGGTCAAGTTACATTTCATGAAAACGCTAAACAACACATTTGGAACACACATTTTCCAGAAATCATGTCAATAAAGCTTTTTGAACATAACTGTCACAAAAAATACTTCACCACAGATTCTCATAGACAATATATTTAACTATACACTTATCGTTAGGCCTAAATTGACTTCACTGTACCTGAATAGTAACTTTCATCTGGCGGTTGGGAAGGTCAGAGTATGTAGCAAGCCAATCCGCTATATCCCATCCACGTGCATGTAACACAGTTTCCACAAGCAGCATATCAGAAAGAGCATCTCCTACAGTTTGATTTACAAGATCCACCAATGTTTGCAGGCGCTGAGCAGCTTCTCGCTGATTAACTTCCAACCTGAAATGCATAATTTAGTGATGAGGATGTTAGGTTGATTGATAGTGATTCTAGGTGTGTCAACTCCATTAGTTCCATAAGTGTATTGTATGTTTTTCCTCGGGAGGTGGTAGTGATCTTCCCCCAGCTGAATGGTGAGATCTGGTGTTGATCTACTGTTCGCTAGTGGGGTTTCCTTCTACTAAGTATCTCCCATCAGTGGGGCACCGCCCAGCTGGAACAAGCTCTACGCTATCAACCAGTCTGACGGCATGTGTGTTAGTGTAAGTGTATGTGTTTATGGGGTGGGGATAGGACAAGAAAGAGGAAAGGAAGATTGCGCACGGTCCGTGGCCCATTTGTTAGGGTATCGCTGCAGCATTTGCTTAGTATTGGAGAAACCATGGAAAACTACTGATCAGAGCAGCCAGCCTCTGTAATTCTTCTCCAGACAACAACTGAATTTGTCCTAGCTGACAAGCCAGTGTTGAAAATGTTTCCACTGTTGGGACTCGACCCTAGGACCTCCCGGTCAGAGGCACTGCAGCGACATCAATTGATGCACTGAACCACCTCACCCAGTTTACTGATGATGGTGAATGCAATACGGAGTTGCTGTTCGTAGATGAAGAGGTTGCTAATACCTCCATCTTTCCTCTATTCTGGGTAGGTGACCACAGAGGCGGTTTGATTTAGTCGTTCTCTGGATGGATGATCATAGGACTGAATATGAGGGGTTGAACGATTATGAGACAAACTATTTTGGATGGTTCACTCATGGTGATATTAAGAAGCTGTCACCATCCATGTCTTGTGCAGGACTTGAATCCAATGCTTTAGGTTCCACATTCATGCATGTCCTTGCATGCATGGAGCAAGCATTCCAAGCCTCAGCATCACTGCAGTAAGTAAGCATCTACTTTACTAATTTTGTATGCACACAGAAATTGTGAGAAATCAAAGCAGCCAATAGAGCTATGTGGGAGTGCTCATAAGTTGCTCATACGTAGCTCATAAGTTGGAGCTGATTAAAATCTTCATTACTAATTTTGTAAGTGGGCAGAAATTGAAAAGAAAAACAACAACAAGAAGTCCGTGGTCACATAAGGGGTGTTAATTGTTTCATCAGTTACTCAGAATCTTGGGAAAAATACAAACTCAATAAAATGTTCACTTAAAAAGGCAAATAATGAAATAGTATTCATGATAAGGCAAGGTGCTGTCTTGTGGATTGCAGCTTATTGCTCCAATTAGAATCTATATTGCTAATTTCAGATGCTTGCAGAAATTGAGAGAAAACTACGCAGCTAATGGCTATGTGAGAGGGTTAAATGAATTTATTAGATACTTAAGAACTCAGTTAAAATACAAAATAATGAAACAGTTTCAATTTTATCTGAAAAATGCAAATCTGATTGCGTTATTTTGCCTTTCTTAATACTGTACATACTGACAGAATACTTAGTGTGTCACTAGCTAGAACACTGCTGATGTTATGTGAGAGCACAGATCCAAGGAAAAGCAACTCACTATTATTTTGTCTTCACATATAGTGTTACAGAGCAACAGATTTGATATTCTTGGCATATAAAGAAATGTAGTACTGTTTATCCAAATATCTACTACACAGCATTACAGAAGTATTTGGGAACACTGTTTAAAAAAAGACAACGTATAAAATAAAACATGTTACATGAGAAAAAAATGTTCTTGGTTCTTGAGAAGCATGTATGTTACTTTTTGGAGAACTTTTTTGTGTGGTTTTGTTCAGCTGCACGTCACTACTTTAATACAAATTCTTTTTCATCCCCAAATTTATACTTGAAGATACCAATCTGTTTGGAGTGCCTCTTATAGAGTGCATATCTAAATGTGAAACAGATCAGCTACTCAGGGCCAGGAACCATTTACTTACTTTTCATCAGAGGCAGCTTGAGCAATCATTTCTGAAGCAGACTTGGCAACACAAACAGTTCCATGTCCATTTGCTTCAAAATACACACCAATGTCAAACTCCTGTGCTTTATGATGCAGATGTTTCACACCAGTTGGCACACAGGCTACAGGAATTTTCTGCAATTATCATTCCAGAAATGGAAATTGATAAAATGTTGTTTTTTAAATTTTTATTATTAGTTTAAACAAACTCTGCAATAATTTCAATTAAGTATGATAGTTAAGTGACACAACCAGGATTTTTCAGGGGGAGGGGCGACTCACAGGAGGTGTAGTGTCCAGCCAACTTGATGTTTCCATAAAAATAATTTTAATTTATGGTTAATTTAAAATATATTTTTATTTATTGAGTCATAGTTCTTTATCATTTATTCAATTGAGATATTGAATGACCCACAGAAAATTACTTAAAACTATACTTAAGAATACATGTCATCAGTGGATGCTGAAGCCCCATGAAATCCCTCCCCATCCCTTGTGCACATCATTGTTCATAATTTACGGGAAAAGAGAGTACAACACTTTTTGTAAAGTGAAAAAAGCTAATCTCTGGTGTGATAAGTACTAAACATTTTCATGTTTATATAAAATAAATTTACTCTAAACATCGATAGTTTTCAAAAAATGCAATCTGTTATCAGAGAAGTATAATTTACATCAATAAATTATAGTAATTTCTATGAAAGTGGCTAAGATGTAGAAATTCAAAGCAAGATATTTATTCCAAGCTGTTTTAAGCCTGAGTGTAAACAGGCTATTATTTCTGAGCAAAATATTTATGCCTAACATTTTAATGAGTGCTTCAGCAGGAGTGTCAAGTGATTTTTTTTTCTCATGAAACCTAGCTTTCATAACTTATAAAAATGATGAAATATTAAAGACTATTTCCTACATGCTTTCAAAAGATACAATTATTAATTAACAACTATTTTTGGCAAGATTACCAGAATTTAAATGTTACATTCAATCATTTTTAAATGTTGCCAATATCACACATATTACATCTTTAAAATATGAATACCCTTACTCTTTGTTTAATTATGGAGAAATAAAAAAAAATGGATGAAAATAAGTGAAATGTACTCACCAATGTTTTTGCAATGTAATTTGTGGAGCTGCCATTAGCATATGCAGTTTGCACTAAACCAAGGTTAAGCTTCAAACAGCTGGCTTTTACCAATTCCATGAAGTAACTTGCCACTGAAACAATGAAAAATGTTTTTATTGGCAATTTTAGAAAGAATGATTGTAATTCAAGTAATACCCTTGCTTAAAAAACATATTAAAGCAGAAAAACAAGGCCTGATTTTAAAAGAATGACACTAGGAAAGATCCTACATAAACACATACATACACACACTCTAGGAGATTAAAATTACTGACGAAGAATCAGACAGTGAAGTAGTGCAAACAAATTGTCTAATAACCGTTCGATCATTCATAATAATTTTACACATACAAGAAACTCACATTTAATTGCACCTAAAGTAGTGTATAGTCATCATTCCAACACAGCAATCAATACTTTTAAAATTAAAATACTTAAATAATTAAAACTTACATAAAGTAGCGATTCGATCACCATCAAGAAGATGGAAAACTTTTTCCTTATCAGTGTAATAATAAACAATACGATCAGCATCTCCATCCACAGAAACAGAGCGCACATTTTCTTTGGTTGGAACCCCTTCTGGGGCCTTCTGCTGTACCTTCACAAAATCTGCCCCACACTGCAATATACATGTGCTAAGTTAATGAGGGACATTGGATAATTAAAACAATTCTATTTCCAACCACTCTATTTAATCATGTATCAGTGTATAATTATCAGTGTATGTATCTATGTGTCAGTGAATAATTATTCAATAATAAAATAGGATTGTAATTAATGGTAACTCCTTTGAGATTAAATAGTAAAATATTCTCATTTCATTAGTGTTAGGACAATGTCTTATTATATTTAAGAGAAAAGAAGAGAGTTCCTGATCCAAAACAGCCTACATTCCTTATCCTTCTATTATAATTTTGTCCCACACACAAAAATAATAAGGAATTAAATTAAATTAAAGTTCGTTGAACTCCTCTGGAACAAAAATATTAGTTCATATATTGCTCACAAGTCACTCTTTGTAACTTTATCAAATAAAGGACAGGCCAATAAATTAACCCTTCCTTCTTCCACACTAATATACTAAAACACAGAGCATAAAAATCACATATTTGATATACCTGATGATTGAGGCGTCCCTCTCCAGAATTAAAAATATTAACATTCAAGTATTCAGAAATACAAGTTTGTAATTCTTTCATTTTTGAAGCTCCCACACCATTGGCACCATCAAAACTAATATCTGGGATGTATTTGCCATTTGATGTATTCTATAAGTTTAACCAAACTGTTAAGAAACATGATCAAGTATATAGCAATTTGAAAATTTTAAAGCAGTAATACAAGAAAGAAGGTTAACCTTTCCTCTGAGTTTCTTGAATGCAGTAGAAAGTTTGAAAAAATATCCTTCTGGAGTAGGCTTTCCATATTCACCATTGGTATTTTTACAGACAACGAAGTAATGTAACATTGGCGTTGTTACTATACCGAAGTCTTGGACTAATCCTCCAAGAGCTGTTACAGCTTCTATGACAGCATCAGCCAATGCAGGGCTACTAGACCTAACATACAATATTAATGAATATTTATCAATTTATTACCTACATCAGGAACAAAAAATTGGCGTGTGGGAGAGAAAGATACAGAATGTAACAAAAATTCTGATATGATCAAATAAAATCTTTAAAATATGTCTTACCTAGTATCTCTACCAACAAACACACATGCATCCTTTGCCATGTCAATGTTCAGTGTTTTAATCAGTTCATCAAGGGTTTCTTTCAAGTTCTCATCACTAAAATGGCAGTGGAAAACTTACATTAGTCAGTTGTAATGAAAACACAAAGATAAAAACCCATGTCATTCAAATAGCAATTGAAGAAAAGCTTACCAAAAGTGACAAGAAATTCATTATACCTGCTATTTGCAATTTGGCTGGCATGTGCTTCCCAACTCTGTTCTAACATCTCTCCCAAGGGGTCAATAAGTTTCACTCCATTGTCTTCTTCAGGATTATGAGAAGCAGTGATCATAACACCAATTGTAGCTACAAAACACATCTATTATGAAATACTCATATCATTCAGGAATGAGACATACAAATTAAAATTTGAATAGGTTTAATACCTTCTTTAACTTTGGATCTGAGAACAGCAAGCAATCCCATACGGTACAAAACATGATCCAAATCTGAAGCTCTGTAAAATAACACAAAAGTTTTAATAAGAAAAACTAGCTCATAGGTTTGTAATGTTATCAAAATCATTATTTATGTGCTACACAAAATGCTAGAATTATTCCAAATTCCCTCTTCTATCCATAATTCCAAACAACCAATACTTCTGCCTTTTTAGTTACTTAACCTCGTTTGTAATACATTTAAAAGGCGTCTGTCGTATATGTGATCAAATGTTATGCTGAGAACTGTCATATCAAAATGTTCAACTTACTTTGTCCTGAAACCGGCTGTTCCATATTGTATTGATTTATCTTCCTTCCTGGGGTGAGTTTTAGCTGCAATCGCAACAGCACTGATCAATTTTTCTCCCATGTTACTTGGGTTTTCGTTTTCCTCAATTACTGTGAGCCCAAGAGATAAAACGATGACTGACACTATCACAAGACACGTGCGAACTGACACTTGCAATGCGCCGCCGTCACAGGCCCAGTAGCTGCCCAGCGTTTTACACCTCTCTTCGGCTGCTCTGCCCCTGCTTTCAGCCAACTGCAGTGGACACTGGACCGGTGGACTCGCCGGGAAGGGGGCTTTCGTGTTCTTTGGGGCCAATCAGTTCCGCATACGACTCCCCCACCTGGCGTCCTTGGCGGCATGCTTAACCTACATTCTCGGATGCTCATGACCAACTTTCTTCCAACTTCATTTCTCGAATTCTTCGGTAAAAATAGAAACTTTTCTTCACACTTGATAGCTTAATGGACATAGCTCTTTCGTTTATGTAGTTGGTGCTGCTTCTGTGGGCACGAACAAAGCCTTCGGGCACCTGAAGGCTTTGGCATGAAGCACGCAGGCGGTATACGTTTTCTTGAGTCTCCTTGTCACAATCGGGTATCCTAATTGATCCTACAGCCGCGATAACACGCGGAGTGCTCCGGCATCCCGAATTTATAGGACATATTTCAGCGATGATACTTTTTTAACGTTGGTGATTTATTTTAAATAAAAACACTAAACAAACGAAGAAGACGCAGAAGAAGAAGCAGAAGAAGAAGCAGAAGAAGAAGCAGAAGAAGAAGCAGAAGAAGAAGCAGAAGAAGAAGAAGAAGAAGAAGAAGAAGAAGCAGAAGAAGAAGAAGCAGCAGCAGAAGAAGCAGAAGAAGAAGAAGGAGAAGAAGAAGAAGAAGAAGAAGAAGAAGAAGAAGAAGAAGCAGAAGAAGCAGAAGCAGAAGAAGAAGAAGCAGAAGAAGCAGAAGAAGAAGAGGAAGAAGAAGAAGCAGAAGAAGAAGAGGAAGAAGAAGAAGAAGAAGAAGAAGAAGAAGAAGCAGCAGAAGAAGAAGAAGCAAACTTTAAACTTGCTAATCGCATTTTCACATGTATTTTATATTTTTCACGCGTTTCTCTTATATATTTATTGATAATACACTTTCCCAATTTATATTTTCACTTGTTAAGATGATCACACAATGATATAGTAGTGGTACTAAAATAGCACGTACATTCTCGTCATTAGATATGGTTATGTAATACTATTTATACACCACAGTTTCTCTCAAATTAACACATCTCAGTGATAATATTTGTAAAAGTGATTTGATATCGTTAGAAATTTGGTGCAAAAATTTAATAGTTTCAAAGCAATAGATTTTTTATTCAAAACTTTAAATGAAAATATATTTCTGGGCATTGTACTCCTATATCGGTATGCATTGTATTCATGAACATATGCGGATGAGATTTTTAGCTTAACAATATTCTTCATAAGCAGGATGCGAGAGTGTAATAATTTATAAGTTAATATGTAATATGATACTGATAAGTTTGCAAACAAATGCAAAATAGATCGAAAAATATTTAATAGTAATTATTAAACACTATGGTATTGTAATATTTTAAAATATATAAAAGTACTTGCGGAAACCAGAAGACGCTTGTTCTGCCCTTCATCTCCCTCTTTCATCTTCCCTCTCCCTCTCTCCATCTCTCTTCCCTCTCTTCGTCTTTCCTATCTCCCTCTCCATCTCTTCATTTCTCTCTGTCGTCTCATTTAGTTACAAATTAATTTTAAAAACGTACAACAAAAGCTCCAATGTAAGAAACAAAATAAATATTAAAAATATATACGTGCTAACTTACGTAGATCCAACTGTCTCAAAACACTTCTAACTTACGATCATGAAGCGGCAGAATCTTCAAGAGCGGGTGGCCTTAAGTTTGACGCCCAATTGCTAAACAATTATTGCATATTTTCGAAAATTCAACATTACTCTTATTTAAACATCTGTTTTGTTGATTAATACAATTCAACTGAGAAAACAATTGTTTTTTTCATAATTGTAGTCGTGGAAGACGCAAAAAAATTGAAATTTTTGCAATTTTTTTCGACAAATTAATTAGGATTTTCAACCAGCATGAGACCTGTGCCATTTCTCTAAACGTTCTTCAGACTATCCAACAACAAGTGTTAATCAAAAATCAATTGCGACATTTTGAGGAAAAATGTACAGGAGCCATCATGTAAAGCCCCCCCCCCCAAAAAAAATCGGTTTCAAATTCAATGGGGTCGCGATATCAGCAAAGATCGATTAGGGAATATCAATTTTGGGGAAAATTCGTTGAACGGTTTTGGCGCTAGCGTTGTACAGGGATACGACGTTTTTGCCGTCAATCCGATTTTTCGGTACTTAGGTAACATGGATTCTGGTTACACCAACTTGTGAAAGGATTGCCCGCCCCTCATAAATTTGGCAAACTGGATACAATGGCACTTTTTTCGTTACCAGGTCTGTAATCAGAGTTGTTCTGGGCCGAAATTTGGGAGACTAAAAAATGTGATGCAAAAAATTTGCGAGAGATTACATATTTAGGTATATAAGAGCAGTTAATTCCGACACCGGATGACCGATTTCCACGAAAAATTTGGCTCATCTACGCGTTTTTTTCTGTTGCACGCATATATAACTTTGCTTTTTAAGAAAGTTCCGTCTTAACAGCGCGAGAGAAGTAAAATTTACATATTTAACCCACATCAACAAGACTAATTCAAAAAAAATAGGCATGGTATAATGGTAAATGGTAAATAATGGTAAATCGTAACTGTAAAAAAATGATTCACATTGGCGAGAAAGAATTAAAGAAATGGAGGTCATTATCATGTCGTCGCATGAGGACATGCCCAAGTCTCCAGTTTACGATCCTGGGACTCAAAAGCATTTGGGGGGGGGGGGCATAGAGATCTAATAATATTATTTAGAATCTCCTCAGAGCTAAAATTTTGAAATAGCAAATATTATTAAAGGTTGTAGTTATTGTATGCAAGTTTGGCATCAAGCAAACTGGGTCGTATATACCTTGCAGCTTCGCGGGCCGAAAACCAAATGTTCTGCCGAATTTTGGAGTGTTTTCTTGTTTAAGACACAGGCCGGTTCGGTAGCGGGTGGGGCAGGAAGAAGGGTGTGGGGTGCGGGGTGAAGGTCGTAAAACACGGGGGTGCCGCGTGGAGGCTTGAGAGGCGGTCGGGGCGAAGCGAAGGTCAGTGGAGTAAGGGAGGCTGGGGTGGGGTTAGGGGTGCACACTTTTGTGCTAATTTTAGCAGAGTGAAGAGAGTTCAGGGATTTGTTTGGTTTAAGACATGCATGTTCTGTTTTTTGAGAGACGTTGTGTATGTGTAGGGCTTCTAATTTTATTCTGTTCCACATTTGTGTGGTGTTTGTGAACATCTTAATTTATCTTAATTTAAGCAACTACATTTATCCACTTTTTCTTTATTAGGGCCCAGCAATTAATTTTTTTTCAGCCGAAAACCCGCCGTTTTTTCTCGAAGTATTGCATAATTTTCTCTATACTACGTATATTACTCCTTATATACTCGTACGTATACGTATATGAGAGCGTAAAAAAGTCATTTTGCCAAACTTCCGGGTTCTAGTTATGATTGTGGTGAGTGTGTAATTTACTTGTTACAAGCTGCATCAAGACAGCATAGCTTAAGACAGCTACATCAAGATAGCAACATAATTTCTATTGCTAGCACTGTCATCGGCAAGGTGCCATTGTATCAGATGGTTCGCTTTCCTTACAAGATCGTGTAGGCGCTAAAGAGTCAGCAAAATTTTGTTTTGGTCAATCTGAATACTTTGCTAATTTGAGTAAAAGTATTTTTGTAAACTGCCTAAAATAGTGTCACAAATTTAAAACAGATATTGAACTGTAATTTATTGGTAATGTTAATTAAACTTGAAATAAAAAAAATAGTACCAACATCTATTTTAATGCGAAATAATAAAATGACTAGATGAGAGTCTAGAGGCAAAATAAAGGGTAGCAGAAGATTCGTGTGTCTCTTCAAATATTGATATTTATTAACAATGAAGAGATTTGACATACTTTATCATTTTAAACGAAAGTATAATCACATACGTGATATCACTGAAAGTTGACATATCTCATGATAAGGTAAGAGAGATTGACTAGCTGAGAAATGTCTTGGCTAATCTTTCTTTACGGTACTAGCACTGGACGAATTCAGTTTAAGCTCTTCATATCAAACTTCTACAATTCAAAGCTTGACTTTCTTTCGAGAAAATGCCTAATATTTGAAAACAGAAAACGAATTTTGATAGAAATTTCTCGCCTCTTTCGAAAACTAAGAATGAAATCGGATTCTAATAAAATGTTCATGATTGTAAGAAATCCTCGCAACTATCAGGGTGCGAATTGGCAATTTTCTCTAGCAGCGAGGGGGGAGGATCAGAAGCTGAACAAGTTAATTAGTGAACAATCCCATGCGGCATGATGATGTCGGCTAAGTTTGGGGAACGACAAACTGACCAGGGAAGATACATTCTTTGATAATGAAACAAAAGTGGTTGAATCTCTAGAACGTTCTTGGTAAAGTTTTACTTTCCAAATTCCTTAATTTATATATTTTAAAATGTGAAAATTATAGGCAAGGCACATAGAAATGAATTAATTACATATGAAAAAATGTTTTCCCAGGAGGGTACATCCGGTTTTCAGGATGGGAAGAATTCCCGGTATTCTTGCTGTAATTCGCACAACGGCGGTATTTTCAATACCGATTAAATTGAAATACGAAACAACTAGTTGCCTGCAGCAGCATACAATTCGGCGGAACAAAACAACACAAGGAAGAATAACACAAAGTAGCGAGGACACTGCTCAAGAACAACAAATAAAATACTTACGAATAACACTGCAGCAAATTAAATATTTTAACAAAACCAGTATTCACATATTCTGCAATAACATAGTTATAACATAAATACCATACAAAAAAAATTGGTATTCCGTTAATCAAGCTGTGGATGTCAAATATTTATTGGCGTGCTGTCTCTTCCTTAAAGCTTTACTGTTTCAAGATATTCAGTAGTGCCGTAAGCAGTGGTGCACTAAATATGAGAATTCAGTTGTTTACACAGAACGAAAATAGACGGAATAACATGTTATATTTTTCAGTCGAACAGAAACTGTTTCATTGTTTTTGTATTTTCCCGATACGCTGGATATCTAACGAAACCTTAGACAGCTCTTACTTGGTCGGAACCTGCATAGCTTTCAATACTAACCGCATTTCTTTCAATTTTTGCGCGCAGTGGAAATGAGTAAAACAGATAATAGACTGTTTTCATTGTAACAGCGAATCTAGAGAGGTGGGCGAGACCGGGATCTTATCTGTGTACAGAATATATGTTACAAAGTTCTTCTGGAGTGTATAGGAGAATCGAAGATAATCACTTTGCCCTAATGAAAGTGTGGGAAATTTCTTTTAACGCTAGTACGCATATGTCATTTACCACTGATTGGTAGGCATCCCACCGAGCTTTGGTGTTTAGCAGGTCACGTTCTGACACAAAGATATCTCGTGTACCAGTCACACTAAAACATGAGGGATATGCCTATTAATCAGGTGTAACTTCGTTGTATCTGTTTTCGTTATATTTGTATATCTTTGTTATATCGTTGTATTAACATTAAATTGATAATCTTAAAACTCCTGTACGCCTTCCAGGTTTATTTTGGTAGCATTCTGTACACAGAGACCAGCAAGACACGAGCTATGCAGTTGCTGTCATGTCATTTTCAGAACTGTCAGTCATGTGAGCTTGTCAAATATAAAGTCTCATTTGGTGATTACTTCACTGAGGGAATTTGGTTCAGTTATGTCTACAAGTATTCATAATGAAATAATTGGTTTGGGGGTAAAAGAGCTCACTCTCCTCGAAAAGTCATATTTTCGATCTGTTAAAAAATTGAGTTCGTCAAACTTCTTACCTACTCGACGAAATCAGAGAGTACAAGAAAGGTGGAGTTGATGTAAGACGAAACAGGAAGTCAGGTATCCTCATATGTAGGTCTCGTCGAGTCAAAACAGAGCATGGTATGTGAAGGGCGTGTCGCGGCCATCCAGTCGTTCAGTGTGTGCTCAGATTTCACTACGCGCAAGGCTATAATATCTTTCCCTTTTGCGGAAAGAAAGATGCAGTTACAAAGTTAGGATAATTGAGCCAACATGAGAGGTCTTAGACTGTTCTTTTCGATTCACTCATTTACGCTTTCAGATTTTTTGATAGATAAAATCATATGATATACATGTATTATACATACATGTATACATATATTAACAAGCTCTTGCGTCCAAGGCGCACTGTTCAACCCCCCCCCTCCGTCTAAAGTCTTCACCTTTTTCGTCCAATTTTGTCACTGGCTCAGAGAGGTTATTATAAGCTGTGGTCTCTGTAACAGGCAGACTATCTTATCAATACCCACTTATGATGATGTAATAACAATGAACGGACTAATAATGAAAAGTACAAGCAATGTTCTTTGTTTCCTGAGAAACGTCTACTTTACGAGGGTATAACCTTCTGAAGTATTACTCTCATTGAGGGCAGGGGCAAACGACAGGATGGAGTCTCATGAGTAATATTTTGTGAAATAAGATATTTATTTTATTTATTTATTTCTCATAAAGAGAAATAGAAATTATGTTCAGCATGAGGCAACCATAATGTCTGGGATTCTCCATCTTCTTTCATCTTCACATTTGTCTCATCCCTGTAAGTCTGAATAATCTATTAAGTTTTAAAAATTTGTTTAAAAAAATTAAGTTTTAAAAGTTTTAATAATCTATTAAGCCTTCTACAGGAAAATGTAACTTTTAAGAATAAAAGTGAAAAGTATAAAGTAAATGTAGGAAAATAAGTTTTTGCTTGTGGAATTATTTTGTTCTCACATGAATATAGGAGAAATAAACATTCAACACAATTTCACCACAATATTTAATTCTAATTTCTTAAATAATGTGTTTACTTTGTTAATATTAAATTAATTTTGCAGGTTCATTATTAATAAGTTGTTTATTTTAAGAATTTAGATAAATGTGATTTTCTTAAAGGAACATTTTATGTAGAGTTACCATACCATAATGATTCTACTTTAACACTCAACTGGAGCCAAACTTAAGTATTTGGAGACATTCAGCATGATTAAAAAAAAGGCCATCTAAAAATATTTAAAAGTTATTAGAAGTAATCAAAACTAGTGTGAAAATGAACTATAGTTTTTACAGTTTTGAACTGGTGATGCTGAGGAGTGGCAAAGCCTTTGTTGCACTATAAAAATAATATAGAAAAGCAAAACATTGTCTTACAAGCAAAATTTCATTGAAAAGAAAGAAACCGTTCTGGAGAAAATACTGTTTGAACATTTCTGAAAATATGCATTTTTGAGTTTATTTTCACAGAATTTTAGAGTTTTCGAGAAACTTCATCAGAAATAATTTGAAGCACTTCTGTTCACAAATGCAACACTCTATAGAAATTGCCCATAATGTGTATATTAACAATATGAGAGATAATAAAAAAAATGTATAGATTTAAAAAAAATCTAAATAAATAAAAATGTTATGTATTTCAGTGTATTCAGAACTATCTATACAAATAGTTAATAGAAAAAAAATGGAGTCTCTTTGAAAAAAAAAATGTTTTGTGAGCATTTCTAAAAATGCAAAATTTTAAGTTCATTTTCAGTGAACCTTATGATTTTTTGAGAAACTTCATAAGAAATCATTTGAAGCACTTGAAAAGTTGTAAATTCAATTATTTTTTAAATGCCCGAAATTTAAATATTAACGACATAACTGACACAAAAAAAATTAATTTTGTGTAAATTTTGAAAAAATTTAAAATTACATCAAGATTGTGTTTATATAATGTTATTAGGTTCATGTAGCACTACTTGTAAAATGTGCAGTTATTTTTGAAAAAATCTTGTTTTTTAAATTGCCATTTTCACAAAATTACTAGAAAACTATATACGCGTGCGCACACACATGACCCAGACACACACACACATACACACACGTTCTTTTAAATATCTAATTTTGAACAGATTTTGTTCAGAGGAATAATCACTACCTTCAATACTTTTGTACAAAGACTGCAAATAAATTTTAAATTTTGAGAAATATTCGAATATTTAGATATTTCAACGCAACTGAGGCACGTGCCATTTTGAAGCGTCTTGGACGGTATCCGAGGATAAAATTTAATAAAATAAATTGAAGCCATTAAAAAAATGAAAATTTCTTTTAGCTTTATGTTAAGCCCCCTCAAAAATTAAAATATCACTTTCAAATTGAAGGTGACGCGTCCTCAGGCAGTTTGATTGGCGATATCAGTGTTGTTGATCACAGTTTTACGAACAGCTAGCGTTGTTCACATACGGACAAGCGGCAGACGTTTGGCCGTCAACCAATTTTCCGATATCAAGGATCCAGAAAACGTGGAATCCGACAAAAACCGTTTTAGAAGAAGCAATTTGCTACATATATGGACAAGAATTATCTACTTTTCGGGACTTTCATATGGATTTTTCTGCCGAAAAATCGCCGTTTTCTCTGCTGCATTGCACTGAGGCTTGGGGAATTTAAAAATGATATTTTGATTTTCGAGGATACTTACATAAAGCCTCAAAAATATTTTAAACCTTTTTCAAAATTGGCACTAATTTTCCTAGGAATCTTCCTCGGATAGCGAAAATGACGCTAGAGGGCAGTCCATAAATTACGTAACGCTAAAGAGGGGTGGAGGGGGTTGGACGCAGCGTTACATAGGGGTAGAGGATATTCCATAGTGTTACGTAGCATTGATTTTTTTTCATTTTTTATCAATTGTTATTAACATTGTTACTGACTGAATTAATGAAATTAATACTTTTTTTACTGAACTATAATTTATTTTCACTTTTTGCATTTACATAGGGGATTACATGCCACAAGCGTTACGCTATTATTAGGGGGGCAATCGTACGTTACGGGTACGTTACAGGGGGGAGAGGGGGTACTCGAAATACAATTTTGAGTTACGTAATTTATGGACTGCCCCTTAAGAGAATGGTGATCTCATGTTCGTTGAAAACCCATATTTTTTTGAAAATTGCAAAATTGCATTTTTTAGGGGTAACTACTTACAAGATACATTTTTTTCTTTCATAAATTCTGTTTCTTAAACATGGATCTTTAAATAAGTTCATATTCAGTTTTTCCAAAATATGAGTAGTTTTCGCGTAATTTGACTCCAAATTTGGGCAAATAAAAAATTAACAATTTTTTTCTTACAAAAAAAAGTACGAATTCTGTATTTGTATTTTTTCACAAAGAGAAGAAGGTATGCTTTAAAGAATGATGTGGGTTTCATTTTTGTTGAACATTCTGTGATTTTCGAAACTTGCAAATTTGGAAATAATGCGAGAAAGTATGTGCTGTTGTAACACTACTTTAAATACAAAATGCATAAATAAATACCTCTTGATTAACATTAGAAAAAATATTTATGATAATAGCATTTAAACTAGATTAATTTAATGAAATGTTAATTAAATTACTCAAGAGTACAACATTTAAATGGAATTAATAATTTGTGGTAACTATGTAGAATATACTGATTTATGTTTCGTGTTTAAATTTTAGCTTCATTTATAATGAAATTAAACATAATAAACAAATTTAATTACTAAATCATATTTGCAGCATTTTGTACATGACAAGGTGACAAGCTAAAAGACAGAAGGAAACAACATTGATTATCAAGATGACGAAAATCGATGGACATTGCAAAGACCCTGAGAAGGAAGAAAAGGAATGGATTCCAAACACAGGAAGATACAATCTAAATAGATTGTTGTACTCCTGTTTGTTAGCAGTTCCTAACTTTCGTTACAGAATTAAAATACCCAAAAAGGAATTACCAAATCTCGAAACTGCATCGGTATTTCCTGTTCTAATTTTTATCCCACTTTAAAAATAATGATAAGTCTAATATCAGAAATATTATTTTAATCTCCTTTCTCATTAAATCTAATCTCTGTAAAATATTTTAAGAATTTTCAATATTATATTTTCTGCTCATGATTACTATTTGAAAGAATTTCTAAAGTAAAGAAGGCAATTTATTCATAAAGGATGAATGAGAGATGATTCAAATTCAACTGATCTGATTATAAACTAACAAATATTTTCAATATTCTAGTCCTTTTGGCCTCTGTCTCAAGCTGCTATAAATACAAAATGTACAGAACATGTGGAGGATCTTTTTGAGCTGGGTTATAGACCAAAATACTTGGCCAAAGAAGGTGTTGAAGGGTAAGTATATAGGCTACTATCTCTAATACATTCTTGAACATGTAGGCTGGATTCTGTTTGTGGCTGTAAACCTTAATAATTAATATGAAGGAAATTCAGGAAATACTGTACTTTTCAAAATATTTTCTTCTCAAATTCCCGCCCACATTTTTTTTTTTTTTTTCGAGAGACAAACGTCTCTCTCCAGAGAAGAAGCTTTTATTTACTTATTTATTTGATCGTGGCAGTATAACCTTACAGTACAATGTAAATATGTTAACTTGCACTTACATGTATCATGAAACTACTAAATACTTTGTTAGAAGAACAGTGTTATTGTAATAGGAAATTTTTCAATATTTCAAATATTGGTTATATGTAAAGAATTGTAGAAGTACGAGTTAAACGTATACTGGAAAGAAAATTTCTTGCTTGTGTACACTTCCTCTATAATCAACTTGACACAAAAGTTGTTTTTGCATTTCTCCTCACATTTAATCATTGGTGTGATAGAAAACGCCACACTGGCCAAGGCCCATTTGAAGGAGGGCATTGGGCTGCTGCTGGAGCACTCACTGCTCCAATGAAAATTCGCATCACACATCTGGCTGTTCCACGGCGACAGTAAGTTAAGCTGCAACTCCACAATTTTTTTCCTTTCTTGATTTGCTTGATAAATATAAAATAAAATATTTTATGGCTAATGTCCTTTTACTTTTCAGTTATTCTAGGTGTACTAAAAAATATCATGGGTATAAATTAAGTGAGAAGCAGCGGAAAATATTGGATGTCTATATTGACAATGCTACAAAAACCGTCTACTACCTTCCCAAAAAGAAGAAAGTGGTTAAACCTAAAAAGTATGTAATATTCATATTAGAAGGATTAAAATATGCATAGGTATTTCTACAATTACCTTAAGTGAGTAATGGTTTAATTTTTTTATCTCAACATTACCTCTTACCAATACAATCTATTTTTCTAATTATTTGTATATCTAAGAAGCAGGCAACTATAACAATGTACAACTTTAATTTCTGGAAATCTTTACAAGAAATCATGTTCAAAAGTATTCCTATGAGAACCGTTTTTGTTTAAAGGGTCAGGTCAAGAGTTTTTTTAAGATAGTACAGTGAAAACTATTTCAATGGTATCAGTGTAAAAAAGATAAATGTTTTAAATTTGTAAAAAGTGAAAGAATAAAAAAAATTAAAAAGAAATAAAATTCAGTAATCTCAGTATAATTGAAATGCTTTTAAAAGCTCTTTAATTTGTACCTTCAATACTTACAATACTCTCTGTTATGAAGATGATTTCAGTTATTATGGCTTAATATTTACTTTCAAATCATCAAATGAAAACTGATAATCAGGACAAGTGTGTAGGGCAGAGTAAATTGTGTTTAGAATTAATCCTTAAAAATATTTCAACTCACAAATTGAAAATTTCAGGCGCCCCAAAACAGAAGGTGTAGGATTCAAATGGCCAAAGCCAAAACCAAAAGGTAAAAAGCCTCCAAGACAGATAGACATGGAACGATTAACAAAATTGGCTGTTCCAAGGCCAATTCCTCCTCCTCCGGATATAAATGTAAGAATTAAAGATCTTCATATTTATTTTCAAAACACATAAGACAAAAAAATTTAACTATGTAATCAATGTTTTAGAGAGGTGAAAAGGTGACAATAGAAGAACTAGGAGATGGACTATCACGACTAGCCACACCACCACGACGAATGAAAGTCAAGAAGGTTAATTTTGATAAAATCTACCAGGTACTACTTTAATAATATCTACTGAATTTGATAGAACTTTCTTATTACGAACTAAATTAGATAATTTAATGTAAATATAAATATACATATCATGTTTTATAAAAAAGAATAAGATGTAAACACATTTTAAAAATATGTTTTTGAATTTACATAATTTTTCAACTAAGCATTAAAAGGAGTAAACACATCCTTAAATGGCATCTCTGAAATTACAGGTGAAGAGAGGAGCATTAGAATACACTATATCAGACAGAGTTGCAGAAATAGCTCAACCTAAACCGTATTTTGGACCACCTCCATTTAAACCATTCATTGTATCTCGAGCTGCCTTACATTATCAAGGTAATGTTTCACCATATATTTTACTTAATACTTGTTTCATACCATATGTACTTAATACTTAAATGTTTCATACCGTAATAGGAGGCATAATCTAACATGTTTTCATTTATATCAAAACAATAAACAAATCATTGCATTAATGAATAGGTGAAGACTTAAAATGTGAAATTTAATTTCATTCAATTCCCCTCTGGTAATGCAAACTTCATCTATTCAAATATGATATTGCACTTATGATTAAGCCTAACCCATTATGTTATTTGGAATGGAGGAGATAGGATTCCATAATTATCACAATTCCACAAACTTGAACTTTTGTTTGAACTTAGTGTCTTGCTGTGAGATAAAAGTACATGTTCTTTACTAAATCACATATGCTGATTGCAAAAATGAAATTAGAAATGTTCCATCTCGTACCAATTTTTTCTGGAAAAGCCACATACATCACTTTTGAGAAACTCGGAAATGACCCAGTAACAATACAAGGGGAAATTGTAGTAGATTGATATACAGCTATGTAACAAAAATTGTTTGTATAACTAATTGTTTGCATTACAAAACATAAAAAGAAAACAGTACGAACAAACTAAATAAAGCTTGAAATGTTCTTTCAAGTAGGAAATGTTTTTTGGAATCTTTCCATTTGTGAGTGAATGGTGAAACTTCTTGTAGGGGTGTCCAGCCATAAGATTTGGTAACTATCTTCTCTTGTATAGTCTTTCCAAGGTAGTGATCTCTTAAGATTACGTGTCAAGAAACTCAAAAGGAAATGAAGGAAATGTAATTTCAGAGACATGTTGCACCCCATAGCCTTGTAAGAGATCAGTGTTATTGTTTGCTGTAATTCTCAGACATTATGTTTCCCAAGAAATTGTCTCATCTTTCAATGCAAGCCCAGCTGCAGAATCTTCCCAGTATTTGTCAGCAACTGTTCAAAGCTAAAATCATGTCAAAAATCATCAAGACAGGATCTACACCCAATGAAAATTCCTTCTTTAAATTTTGCAGTACCTACTAATCGCAGGAAAGTTTGATAGTAAAAACTGAAAACTCTGGCCATCTTTGTACATCGCTTTCACAAAATTCTTCATAAAGCCCAATTTCAGATCGAGTGGGAGTATCAACACTTATTTTCAAAAAGTTCAAGCGACATGATTTGCACCAGGATTGAAAATTTCTCTAAGGTCATTCTTTGATTACATAATGGCCTTTCATTGTCCTTCTATCCCTGTGAAACAAGAAACAGCAATATTTTGTGTAATCAGTCTGCATGCCTAGAAGGAGTTCCAGGACTTGGAGATCACAATAAATATTCCATTTGAGATTTGAATAGCATGTATACATCAAGAGTGGCCTCGTTTTATCGTAGGTTTCCTTTAACTGAACGAAATGGACCATTGGCATCGTTTCCTTCATATAAGAGAACAACCTTGAAACTTATCGTTGAAGAATCTATAAATAGGCGTCATTCTTCCGGATTGTGAATCATCCCACACTTTGTTAGCAGCCCATTTGCAGCCCACATTACACAGTCCCAAACCCTCTGTCATCGAGAAAAAAGTGGACAGATCATACTGTCGTTTATAGAATGTGGTGTTTGGTTGTAAAAGGTTATTTTCTTGAAGACGAGATCCACGTAATTCTACTTGCCTCTTTGAAAGATTTAGATCTCTTACAATATCTTTCAATTCTTCCTGCGACAATGGCTATGGTTGTATCCGTGTTGTAGATGGCATGTAATCGAGATCTTTATAAAATTCGTAGTCTGTTGGTTCGGCAGTACCGTCGTTTCATCTTCCAGTGTCCATTCCGTAGGTTTTCGAAATGGAAGAGAATCAGAATGCGCATCTTGCAGAATCCAAATTTGGATAAGAAACTGTGTGTGCTTTAATTCACTTGAGATTCTTGTTACATTGGTTACACAAAAGTAGCAACCTGTAATGTGGTCTCCAGTGCAATCCATTGTGTCGCACTGTGTTATTTAGACTTCAACTATTTTTCGGCTATTTTCACTAATAGGTACTTAAGAAATATGCCTCCTGCAACACTAACCACGAAGGATAATAATGATTGGTGTGTTGTGAATTTAATGTCAGGGAGCATCGTAGGATTCTGGGAAACCTTCTTGCTCTCTAGTTCTGTCCCATTTTTAATTTTCTTCTTTCTTAATTGGCTTTCATTTGTGTTTTGTTGCTTCAGCGTCAGAACGTGTGAACAAGATTGCTACACCGCGTGAGCGTAAAGGACCACCCACTGATGATTTGAAGGAGGATCCATTTACAGTGCTGCCCATTGCACTGAAAGCTATGTGCACTCCAAGGACAGCTGAGTTAGCTCAGCCTCGTGTACGCAAGTAATATCTTGTCCCTGCCCTGAAAAAATAAATATGCAAAAAATAAAAAAGTTTATATTTTGTACTAAATCTGAGTTGTGTATTATTTGGTCCTTTTGCATGCTAAAGATGGGTAACTTAGTGTTTTTAGGGATACAGAATTGTGGTATGTCGTAGCACATTGCATAGCAAGGTCAACTAGAGCATATTCTGGGCCCTCGTGTGTTATAATGAGCCACATCATAGTTGCATTAACTTTTGTAATAACATGGTATTGAGCATACATGTTAAGGAAAAGGATCTGTGCAAATACTGATCGAAAATTTAACTTTCATCTTTTTCTTACTGATAAAACAAATAAAAACGAAAGATCAAGAAATCGGCCGCTAATGACCTAGATGTTGATGCATGCTAAATAACAAAACAACAACAACAACAAAACATAGGAATATGAAAATAAAGTATTAACATTTTGTCAAAAAGTTACAGCATTTGCATTATTTTTTAATGAATATCTTGGAAATTGAGGATGCATTATTATAAAATATCCTTCATTCCTTCTAAAATTCATTTCATTAACGATTACGTTCAACCATTTACATCCAACTTTCCTACTTGATCAATATTAAATAGATCAAATTTTGTCTTCTTTTCAACAAATTTGTACTCAATCTCTAGCAATACTGCACCTCACCACTTTCGGTGCCAGCCAGCAGGTAGCTACCTCCGCTCTGACACTTAAGCCTTACATGACATGCTCGTGTGAGTGCTCAGCAAGCGCCCAGCCCAGAATTGTTTTAAATCAATAAATAAAAAGAGAAGGCAATTTACAGGAGGAACGCCTTCTCTCTGGCCTTACGGCTACATCTTCTAGCCGTAGCAGCGCCGTGACATACGACGGTTACTACACGAGAGGAAACAATAATTCCTCCTCAAAGCTACAGTTTCGGTGACGCTTAAAAAGCCCCGAAGTTTAAACTCGAAGCCAACTGAATCGGAGAAAACAAAAACGTTCGTTGTCTAGGAGCTTCAAATTTTGAAGAGGAAGCAAAAAGGTTCCAAGTTCCGGACATCGATCAATTTTTCTTAACATTAGCAGTTGAAGGACATTTTACAGATGTCACAGAAGTCATTGACAACGAACTTTTATGGATGGAAAGTTGAGTTTATATTTTTAAAACAGTTTCCCACTTCCAGTTTCCCCCTAGAAAAACAGCAAAATGTGACAATGAACTTTTTTGTTTGCTGCAAGTCAATTTCCCGATAATTCTGAAATATATAAAAATTTTCTTTTCTATACATCAAAGCAACCATTACATTAAAAAGAAAACAAAGAATGAGGAGGGTACTCCCGTTTCCTCTCCTAAAAATCCGCCACTGCTATATATTACAGTTAAATATTTGTACGAGTATTACAAGGACATAATGCAAGTAAAGTAGTCATGAATAAAGTGAACTCTAGACATGAGACAAATACATAATAGAGTAGCCTCAAGAACATACTAACATGATTTTCACTGGATTTTAATTATTAATATAGTGGACTATAAACTTAAAAACAAACAATAATTGTATCAAAAACAGTTTATTGAAATTCCAATACATGCAATGAAAAATCATCTACAATACAAATGAACTCCAAAGAAGATGATAATTTTTACAGTTCATTAAAATGAAGATGATAAATAATAATATTTGCATCTTTAAACCTTTTTATAAAAATATTTTCTAATCTTATATTCTAAGTATATTTGAAATTATAAAATCATACCACATTATGCGGGGAAATAAACTTCATTCTTTTTCAAGATCAGCAAGCAAAATCACCATTTACAACTTAATATACCTGGAAAAAAGCATCTATTTACAACTTAATATACCTGAATTTACAATTTGTGTCGAGTGCATTATGTTTCACAGTAAGTTTATGATCTATGGACATTTAAACATTTACTAAGTTCATTAATACAATTAAAATTACGACGATTAAACAAAATAATTTAATGAATAAATCAAAATTAAAATAAAAATCCTCAACATTCCTTCTATTCCTCGACAATAAACCGACTAAGGATCTGACATCATATTTACAAAGATTCACAGGTTTTCTACACTGGTAATTGTAAAAATTACACCACCAAGAATTAGATATACTATTTCAATGAAATTGATTCCACAGTTTAGGAATATCACTATATACACATGATCAGAATTACAGAACTGTGCCTGCATTATAACCTTGAGAATTTAGTATGAAGTGAAGCCGCTACGCGCTATCAGAGCGTGTAGATGTCGTGGCATGGATTCAAAGAGGGCCTGGATTTGCTGCTTGGAAACAGACTGCCACGCGGTTTCTATGCGTGAACACGAAGCGTCGACAGTGGCTGCAGGAGGAACTGCAGGAACAAGTTACCGACCGATCATATCCCAGACACGTTCGTTGGGCGACACGTCAAGCGAACGTGCAGGCCAGGGGAGCCATGCTAACCGTCGTTCTTCGCAAAAAGCTTGCATCAGTCAGTCATCGCCACATGCGGTCGGGCATTGTCCTGCTGAAATATGGCATGGAATTACTTGCATGACAGGCAGTACCGCAAGCTCCAAAACCTCCCTGAGGTAGTGATTGCTGTTCAGATTACCGTATGAGGCGAGATCGCTCATAGCAGCAGCCTATGACGCCCCAAACCATCACACTTTGCGTTTGTCCGCTATGGCGCGGAACAATGTTGGCTGGCAGATTGCGATCACCACGGTAGCGTCAAACACATCTAACACGTCGGCCATCGCTGTTCCACAAATTGAAGCGGGAATCGTTTTGAATCAATTCAAACAGTGGAAAACGCTACATCTTGCCACTCAGCTCACCAGTGAACACGTTCACGTGCCTTTTGGTGCCTGAGGCGTTGGTGGTTACTGGTCAACGATATCCGACACAGTGGTATGCATGCCTGTTGCAGTGCTCCAAAGTCGTGCCAACACTCAACGACGCTGTTCTGTCGATTACGGCCATCAGGATAAGAGCGGTCATCACTCTGTTGTCACATATTGTGGCCCAGTCACCGTTCATCGCTGTGTACCATTCTGTATTCACTTGTTCGACACAGTCATTACTGTCGTAGCGGCGCAAGCTGTTCGAGCAATAGTGTCGCGGTATGACACCCCCTTTCCCGGCGGTCGATCATTCTGACCCGTTCGAACTCAGAAGCTGATATTGCGCCTTTCTGCGCCGGCAAGGTATACCGGCACTTGATTGCAGGTTTCCATGTTGTTTGACTGCTCTAGACTGATGTTGGCGTAACATAGACCTAAGGGCGCGCACAAGAGGGCGCTGCTAAGTCAACGTGCACGCCATCTCTATGCAAATTTAATCATATCTTATGGGTACACAGTTCAACACAACCCCCGATTTTTAACTGATTCCGACCATACCTTCTTGGTGATGCAATTTTCACAAACAACAGTGTATTCATGTAATTTTCAGAAGACAGCGTTACCTCATATATATGAAAATTCCTGAGGCAACCAAAGCAACAGTAAGGATCACAATGAGAATCAATGCACCGGCGACTACAATTTCACTTTTCATCCATCCAAACAGCGGAGCGGTCAGTTCGTCCTCCATCAAGTGAGTTAGTATTGTAGGCGCAGGTCTCACTGAGGGCAAAAGAAAACTGGGTAAATCGGAAGTTCATGGTGGCCACCCTCTTCTTTGGATTCAGTGAACTGATTATTCGTATTTTTCATTATATAAATCTAATTTTATTGCCAACGCAAATTTATAACCAACGCATTTTGACACCAAGTGATCCGCGACCTGCGAACGCGGGTCGCTACCCAACGTATCAAATGTGCTGCTTTCGCGAGAGCCTTCCGGTCCTCGCTCTCGCGACCTGGTTCGCGCCTCCACAGTCGCCCCGGTGCTCACGCGGTTTTATAAAACTCCCTCCATTTTAAGAGAATTTCTTTTTAACCCATTAAGTCCCAGAACAACTAAAATCTAAATTTTTTCTATTATATTTTTCACCGTAACTACTTAGAACATAACACATAGACGGACGTAAAATATTATATTTATTGTTGGCTTTAATTTTACAGCGTTTTCCCAAATGGGAACAATGGGAAGATATAGGGTCTCCAGGCCATGTGGTACAGGAAAGCAGCGCATATGCTCTAAGTCCTTACAAATAGCACAAATAAGTTGTAATATTTTATCCATCACACTTTGCAATATCCTTGCCTCATTGCAGGAATGAGGTGATGACATCGTCCAGGCCTGGCTTGGAATGTAATGGTTCCACGGGGTCCTGGTGTTGGTGTTGAGGGGTGTAACACCACCATTTTTGGAGAAATAATGCAATGTATTCGTGTACCAACTCTTAAGAGTGCTTATACAGTTCAAAAGAATAGGCAAGTGTCAATTTTTCATCTTATAACTGCTCTATACTGGGAAATAAAACAATCCAAATAATCTACTCCTCCCATTTGCGAATTATAGTTTGAAATTAGATCAGGTTGCGGTATTTCCACTGTCTTTTTTGGCTTTGTTTACACCCTTTTGCTTGTCGCAGAGAGTGAACAACATCACAATTTGAAGCAAGGCACTTTACTTTGTTCTTTCATTTGTCAGCCAAAATGTCTCCGATACACTTGAAATAATAATACCTCACTCTACTTCATCGGCAATTTTTATTTCATCCAAAAAACATTTCTTTAGGCGCGCTTCTCTCATATCTTTGAAAGTAATAACCCTGACACCACAATCGGGAGTCAGAATAACGAAATCAACCTCGTCATCTAAATTCTTCCACGACATCAGGAATTTTCTCAATTCTTAAATGTATCATGAAAGACAATGTAAAAATGAGAAAGCTTATTAGCAAAAATAAATTGCAAAAAAACAGTAAAAAAGTAATAATACAAACAAAAAAATCGTGGGTCAAAAATACACCGTATATACCCAATGTTCCCCATTGGGAATATCGAAAAATAAACATTCACACACTGTATAAATGGAAGTTACGAACATTTATTACCATAAAATTAGGAGCATTAGGAAGCTGACGAGGATGTCCGAGTCATTTACCCGATGCTCCTTAAGTATTTCAATAAGGTGTGCCGAATTCCTAACAGCTGACTTGATGTCGTCAGTCAAAGGCTGCAATTTGGTCGGCCACATAGGGGCGAAGAGAGTGGGTTGGGAGAGTAAATAGCGCCTCAAACAATGGGGCGCAGTGGCACTCTTGGTTTTAATGTATCTTAGGGAGACCATAATGCCTAGGGGTACAGTGATATGCTTAAGCTTAGGGTTGTGGACGGGACGTACCGTAAAGAGGAACGCCCCTGGGAACATATTTGTAATTATAAATACAATAATACGAATAATCGGCCGTGCCCTTGCCCCACGCAATGGGAAAACTTGACCACGCTATTTTATGTGATGACACACGTCTCTTAGCCAGAGAAGACCGCTGGGGCAGGAGGAGGGTAAAAGAGGCGGTGGAAATCATCAAACCGCCCTATAACGTGAATGCTGACCAAGGCATACGTCTACACGATGCCTGGAAACATCTATTTTACCAGGACGTCCGATCTCGACCGGACGCGGTCCTAACTGGTCCGCAACGCCCGATTACGGCCTCCTCTCACTCTGCGGGGAGCCCACCCCTGATTGGCCGGTGCACTCTCCCCGCATTGGCCGCCCACCCGGTCAACCGGCACTCGGGTAGAGGAGAACCTAAGCCCCATGAAAACTCGTGCGCAGCACATCTCCGCGCATTACGCCCTGAGGATGGTCGCAGAATGGCGACCGAAACGTCGGCACCTTCGCCATGGACGCGGCGTCACCCGAACAGCCTAGTAAATACAGATGCCATGCCCGAGGCGGAACTCGAACCCACGATCCTTTGGTATGAAACCGCCACTCCCCTAGCGATCTCTGCCATCAGATCGGCGATAGCCTTTTTATCATATCTTATTATTTAATCAAATTAAGTACATGTTAATAATAAAAATGTGGGTGTAAATATTGTACACATTCAAAAACCCATATCTACAACAATTTTTTAAAAATTCTATGATATAACATTTAAAATATAGTCAAGAACCCACAGTAAAAATCTGTCCTCTAATGTATATACAAGTAGTTTAGAAAATGTATCTTGAATTTAAAATGTATGGTGCAGGACTTTCCGGGTCCCCTTAAGAGGGTGAAATCAACATGTGAATTTTAAATATATACTAGACAACTTACCCTCGATCCAAATCCAGTTGGTAACCCAAGTAAACTGCATATCTTCATCTATCACTTCGCATGTCCAGTTGCCAGAATGAGAGGCATTCAAATTTTCCAAGATTAAGTATTCAACCTGGAAAAAGTCATATAGAAATATATAAAGATCTTAAAGAAGTGAGCGATGAATTCATGTGTGTGAACAAAACTATTCAGAAGGCAGTAATTTTTAATACTTTCGTTCAATGAAACAAACATGGAAGTTAATCGGTTACTTCTCTGCCAAGATGTCAGCATTCTCCATTTTCTGAATACCAATAAACCTTTCAGACATTCCTGAGTATTTTTGACAAGTTTCAGTTTTATTTTGACCGCTGTTCTACCTTTGAAAACATGTTTTTGAACTGGAGAAAACATTTCAATTGTTCACCCTGATATCAATACTTTCTATTATAATAGTTTCTAGTGTGTACCCCAATGTTACAACTCACCCTCTTGAGTTGTATTGGCAGGCAGTGAACGTGCTGTAGCGTCTTTCTGACGTGACGGTTCCATCACTTCATTTGAATAACGGGCTCCAAAACCAATCGAGGTCATTTTATAGGTTTTGAGTTGCGTATTTTCTAAATGCTGTATTTTGTAAATGTTATTGAATCGATTTGTGTGAAAAGAAAAGAACAAGTCCCACTGTTGCACTGCGTTGGCCTGTTGAAATCGTCATTGCATGCGCCAAGATTTTATGTCAGGCGTTTTAGCTCCCACTACTGCCAGCGTCTCGGAACCAACCTGCGTTGTAATTGCAAGAAGAGCATCAATGAAGTTTGCTGTAAACAACGTTCAGGTTGTGAATATAATGGATTTAAAAAATTGATGGCAAGAGTTTTATAATAACAAAATTTGCTGATGGCAGTAATCGCTTTGAAAGGCAGTAGTGCCGGAGCAATCTCGGATCAGATCTTTAATATGTGTTCGAGTCCTGCTTTGGACATTGCGACTATTTGTATGTGTCTCTATGTGTGTGTCGTCCTTTTGCCTGCCCCTCACTATCATCACTTCATCTTTCATGCCCCCAGGACTAAGAACCTTGGAGGATGAAAATCAGATCCAGCTAAAATGCAGATCACCCAAATAAAGTTTCATGCACCTGTACTACATGACTTAGGAGTAATACATGCATATCTCCTAATTATTACATGTAACAAGTGAAAATACTAATAGCCCAACAAATCCTGCTTATACATCACAAATCGTGCCTTTTTTTTAGGAAGTAAACGCTTAATGGCGTTACATCATTTCTGCCTGTTGGATTTCAATGCCTAGGACCACGACTGCACCTACTCTGAGGCCCTACGTTTCGAATGCCACTCGAGACGGATGCTCAACACTAGCTACTCAGTTAGGTCGAATTCAGACAACGGTTCATTGTGATCGGTAGTTTTTCATGGTTTCTAAATCACAGGCGAATGGCGGAGCAGTTCCCTAAGAAACGAGTCACGGACCACGCGCGATCTTTCCTTCCTTGTTCTTGTCCCAACTCCACCCCTTTAACATGCACACACGTTCTAAACTACCACACATGTCGTGAGACCAGAAGGGAGCTTGCAACTTGTGCCGGTTGGGGCGGTGCCCTTCTGGACTGATTCTTGAGAAGCGAAATCCCTAACAAGTCGGATCTCACTATTCAAAGGGAGAGGAACACTGCCACGTCCGTGCATAAACATTTACTACATTAACGGGATAGTTACCACAGCATTACCTGAAACGATCTATCAACGTAGGGCGCAAAAAAGTCGATTGATTGATCATTCGAATGATTGATTGATTGATTGATTGATTCAATGGTTTTTCCGGGCGCGTCAACAGATAAGGATATTATTCCCGTACGTGTAGTGCATTTTTAACCGCGGAAGGTGGCGATGAACTCCCCCGCTGGAAGGCGATCTCTACGGCGGGTTGTGGGGTTTTCCCCAACCATGTATCTCCCACCAGTGCGGCACCACACCAGCCGGGACAAGCTCTAAGCTCCCAATAGTTCTCGTAACATGTGTAACTGGATAGTGCATGTAACTGTAAGTGCTTTACAAGTAAGGGGTGAAGATATGACAAGGATGAGAAAAGAAGTATCGTGTGCGGTCCATCGCAAGCGTACTATTCCGTCATTCGCCAGGTATAGATCGGAGAAACCACGCAAAACAACAGATGAAAGCCGTCGGTAGCTAAACGTTCTCCTCCAGTTAGCGCTTGAATTCGACTTAGGGTACGTTTATATTGGAGCTGCGATAAACGATGAAAGCAGCGCTAAGAGCCAAGCAACGAGAATGTCGCCGTGTAATCAAAAGGAAGTGTTTATGTTGGCAGCGTGCTGCTCACGGGATCAGCGCTGCCGGACCAGCGATAAGAAGCGGCAAAAACTCTTTGGTAAGTTTAGCTGTGTAGGCTAGCGTAAGCCAAATCGTGCCAGCACGGGACGTGAGCCATAGGGCCTCTCGGAACCTCCGTCAAGCTGGCAACCCACTTGCTTCGAAATTCAAAATTAACTAGGCCTATAATTTTGTACTAATATGTACTGAATTTTCTCCACAATTAAAAATTGTGTACTTCGACTATTAAACAATAAAAAAACCACCATCAAAAAGTTGGGGTGCTAGCTTTGACGTTTAAGTTAGCACCCCACTTCTCATAAATTGAAAATCAACTAGCCTAACATTATCTACTAATTATGTACTAATTCTACCACAGATGTAAATTTTGTTCTCAACTATAAACAATTAAAAACCGGGTGCCAACTGAAGCACTTTTCACTCAATATTTGTTCTGATTTTTAAACATATTTAGAGTAGTAAAAGTTTAAAGTTTTCAAATTATAATGCAGATTAACATCATAGTGAACTTCACATTTAATATTTCAACATTTATATAGTCCCACAACTGAGATATTACAGTCTAAAAAACACGAAAAAACTGCGTGCGCGCTCTAACAGAAGTGTCCGGCACTGCATCCTCCTTCGCAGAAAATTCCAATTTAACTAGTCATATTCCTTTCCAAACATGTGGGTTCCTCTTACTACAACAAAATAAAATTAATTTCGTACTTAAAACTATAAAACAACTGAAAAAACCGGGTGCCATAAAGCACTTTTCTCGGAATTTCACGAGTTTTAAAAACACTTTTAAGTCAAATTTATTCAAAGGGTTGAAATTCACAACCGCAGTTTAACAATATAGCTGAACTTTTACATATAATAATTTTCAAAATTTTGTCTAGTCCCGTAACTTCTGAGAATATGGCAGTCTAAAAACACGAAAAATGCGAGCGGCTCTAAAAACAAACGTGTCCGCCACTTGCATTCCCTTCGCAGAAATTCAATTTAACTAGTCTATAATTTTTCTCATTTATGTACTAATTACTGCAACAAAATAAATAATTTCGTGCTGCTCAACTATAAACAATTAAAAACGGCCTGTGCAATTTGAATCCACTTATGGTTTAATTTTCTGCATTTTTTAAAACTTCGTTTTCAGTCAAAATTCAATTTTGAAATTTAGACTGCACTTTGGGACTGTGGTGGTGTTTTAGGATAATAATTTAATTAAGATTTTTTTATTATAAGTAAACCAAATTGTAATTATTTCATTTTATTATGAGTGAAATCTTCAAATAGAATATGCTATGAAACACCTGTTATTTACCTCAAGATCGCAATGTCATAATGGTTATGGTTAACAAAAAATAGGATGCCAACTTTATTTGTTCTTCAGCAATTACTCTAATATATTAGAAAATTATCCAAGAAAGAATATGATATTGTGAATACATGTTTCATAAGTGTGTTTCTCCGTTTCCAAATATATTTTCTTTTGACAAGACAGAAAATGGAATTTACCAAACCAAAGCGTGATTTAATAGGCGGCTCTTTGCAATACAGTCGATGCAAGGATTTGTTCCGAGCTACTTCCTATGAAGAAGGAAAAATTATTGATATTGTGAATACTAGTCCGTTAAAAATGTGTTTTTGATTGCTTCAAAAGGAATTTCATTTGTCCAGGCACAGATATAGATTTACAGCCGAAAACGTGTATTCGTATGTGTTTGTACTCTTAATGGGCGGAACGCACAATGATAGTTCAGGCCAAATTTATGAAGCTGAAGGAAAAAATATTATAGTTGGTCTTGCAATAGGCGTTGAAACTACTTAAAAAGTGTTTTAAAATACAAGACCCTTAAATAAGAACTCGTTATGGAAAACAAATTTTATGTGAAAGATAACCTCTATCTCAAATTGTGTAAATTCGTAGTAGACGCCGAAAGAATTCAAAGTTTTTGCAATTTTTCGAAAAAAATTTTCAGAGGGGTTAACCGTGAATATTTTACCTATGCCACCTTTATAAGAGTATTTTGACTCTATGCTTACTAGAAATTTTAAGGGCTTATGTAAATGGAATCTGTTTGAGAAAAATAAAATGAAAAGGCTTTAATGTAATGTTACCCCCAAATTTTAAAGAATATTTTCAAACCTCAAGGGTCGAATCGAGGCAGGTGGAAGAGGGTTTCTTCAATTTGGAAAAAACCCTACGTATAGTTTAGCCGTAGTGATGTTCACAGAAGGACAGACTGTGGGGAGGGACAGGAATGTTGTTGTGCAGTCAATTGGTTTTTTCGTATAAGAAACCCGTTTTGATTCTGGCTACACCCACTATTAGAGAATGTTTGTTTAAATTTTAGCAACTGGATTTATCCATTTTTTTCGTTATTATAGCCCGGCAATGAATTTTTATCTGTCGCAAAGCTCCACCTTTTTATCGCGCCGCTATTACATAGCTACTTCCTATACTACGTATATTAATCCATATATACGTAGGTATACGGGAAAGTAAAAAAGGGAAGCAAAAAACTCTATCGACAGTGTGGTTTTCGCATGTCCGTAAAGTTAGCATACCCACTTATCACAAACAGGTGAAAAAAACAGTATTCCAGAATTTTGTTCTAATTAAGGACTAATTTATACCCAATTAAAAAAATTTTACCGATGCACAAACATTATTATATTTCCAACACTAATAGTGGGTACGCTAACTTAATGTTAATTTAGCAGACCCACCACAAGAAAAATGCATGGAACAAAATCTATATACACC